TGATTCAGAGTTTCACAGCATTTGCAGCAATAGGTATAATTAAGGCTGAAGATTAGAGGTGTTCCTTAGAGAATAACACACAGAGTAGAGGAAAGTAGAGATATGGACAGCTATAGATGTAGCATAGTTTAAAAAAGAGCAAACCACATCAGCAGAGCAACCATCAACCACCCACACACATGAACATGCATTGGGAAGTTTTAAAAAGTAAAAAAAAAAAAAAAAAAAGATTCCCATCGGCTATTGCTAAATTACGGTAGACTTGATCCACTTGATTGACCCTTGACACTGATAGAACAGTAGAACTAAGGTAAACAAACACAAAAAGCAGTTTGTAGTATTACAATGTTTTCTTTATTTCCTTGTACGAGCTCCGACTTCATAGATCAAATACAATGACATGTACAGCAAGAATAGGAAATCATAAATATATTTATTACAAGTACCGTACATAATGGAACATGTCAATTGAGTAACACACTATGACTTTTTCACCACAACTATCAAGCACACACCACAAGTTCCAAACTTTCTTTCCGTCTCTCCTCCACTTGCCACGCACACCACAAGCCACATTTGCATGGCATACATATGCCTACACACCAATCTATAGTACAAAACTTTTTTCCCTTCTCGCACAACCTTTCATTTGCCTCAAAGACGCAAATCATTCGTCACAAGGTAAAAATAAATAATGTAATATAACAAAAAACTGGCGAGGAGAAGTGTCGCCTTCGGGCAATTCATGGGCATTTTCTGTGATCGAGCCCTACTGAAAACACATATATTCATTTACCTTGAGTGCAAGGAGCCTGAGGCTGTACACTCACAGAACATAACCAGAGTCTGCTGAGCAAACATTCTGACTTCTCTGCTGACCAATGAATGTGCTACAAAGTCTCCCAACAAGAATAGTTTCAAATTCCCCTTTGTATTATCAGTCATCACGACACAGTAGTCAGTCGTCACGACACAGTAGTCAGTCATGCCACGGGTCCAAACCTGAGAAGTCTTTGCAGTGGAGAAAATGCCACAAACACACACACAACCCCCTCCCCCCCTCGAGGAGACATTCTTAGGTTTTCAGCCCTTCTTTAAAGTAGGTGCTTTTACACCCCCATCAACACAATTCAGGTCATTCAGGAGGCAGGCCTCCAACCCTGCCTACTAGTATCAGGGCTAACCCTGGCAGAGAGGAATATAAACATCCCAGCTAAAAGACCAAGATACCAGCTTTAAAAAATTTCCACTCGGGAATCGAACTCAGGTCTTCTGCATGAGATAACAAAACACCTAACCAACTGCCACACCAGACACTGATCTGGAAATCTCTTGCAGGCGTGAAACCTGACAGCCGAATCAACACTGCTTCTATATACGAATACAAAGCTGATAAAACAACAACAGTGGCCATTACACTGAAATCCCTTTACAATACGCTCAGACATGGACATTTAAATCACATCAAAAGTTCCCTCCATGAAAATACACTGTACAAAAGCAATCCCATTATTATCATCAGAAGATCGCAATTGGTCAGTGGGCACCAGAGTTTTATAAGTACATATATATATAACAAATTGCTTAAAGTCAACTTAGGATACCATTTTTTTACTACCGACATCAAAAGCAGAGATACATTCATCGACAGACAAACTCTCTTCCGCACAAAACGCACCGCATTTAACTTTTCACCAAAACATATAATACAAGTACAGTAAACAAACCGAAAATAGCTGCCAGCCTGTAGCTGGTCTATCTACTGCCCTCTCTGTCTCACCAAAACATGCGGCTTTTCAAAGCAGACAAAAATACTTCAGCACTGCCCGGTGTCCTGAACAGCACAACATCACAGTCATTCCACAAACGTAGTCTTTATCAGTTATTGCAGGTTTCCATATAAAGCTGTTATTCCAGTAAAGACATCATGGGCCATATTACAATGCAATTTTATTCTCCTTTGTCATTTCTCTAACATATATTTTAGGCTCCTCCCCCCCCTCCCCCCCAAATTTCCTCAAAAGTTTAAAACATAACTTGTGCTCTTGTGGAATGACCGTAATGACATGCTATACAACACATGCTTAAGCACAGACACAGTATTTTTTTATTATCAAGACATTGGAACCTCACAAATACACAACAAAATTCAAAGTTTCCACAGACACTTCTTTAAAAAACTCTATATATCATATATCAGAGCATCTTTAAAAAAAAAAAAAAAAGAAAAAGATTTACCATCACTTTTATGGGAAAAGAAGACGCACACAGAGCAAGGATTGTTTAAAAATATTCAAATTCAGTCACAAATCAGAGCGCAAAAACTTGCGTTTGCATTCTGGATAACTACGGCTCAACAAAGTTTGTCAAGAACAGGTCAAGACGAACGGGAAAGAGACCAAGACATGATTTTGAAAATCAAGGCATCACGCGAACATGAAGTTTTTAAAAGTATTTTTACACAAAGACATAGAATGTAGGTGTTTTTACGCCCCCACCAACTACAATTACAAGTCAGATCATTCAGAAAGTCAAGGTAGAAAGCGGACTTCACAACCCTGCCTGTCAGGGCCAGCATAGCCTGAGAAGGACACCAATGCTCTAATAGAAAGATTGAGATTGAGATAATAGATATGTAGAAAATTCTCCCCCACACAGGAATCAAACTCGGGTCTCCATGACAAACCTCAAGCCTAAAAAAAAGACCATGACACATCTTGCACTTCGTCAATGGTAATAAACAGTCAATACTTTTCAAGACTGGACCAATAGTAATCAACAGTATTATCCACAACTGGGACTCTATCAAAATTAACCTATGCCGTTTCAAGTTCACTAATCAATAATATGAATCAAAACAGACAAAAGTTAAAATCCCCACAAATCGAGGCATACTAATTTTCACTCTAATGAAAATTTGTCAGAGCTGGATTTACCAAATGTTTTCTCAACAACAGGTTCGTTCATAGGAGTAAGGTTCATGTGTTACGGAGAGTTTCATGATTAAAATTCTATCACAGGCCAGAAATAATTGTTCTCCAGACCAAATGCAGCCCACGAGCCTCCAGTTTCTCTATAGCTATGCAATAAAGGATCCCCCTACTCCACAAACACATACGACCATATCTCACCCCTTCCTGGCAGTTGCTGTTATCGTGTCCCCATGCCCATGAGGGGGGGGGGGGGGGGGGGAGAGGAGTACAAAAGCATTTTTCCCCCGAAGACAAAACATCACACCCTGACCAAACCCAGACCAGGATCAAACTCACAATCTATTTGATCACGAGTCTGGCAGCCTTCCCACTGAGCCATTAACTGCAGCACATGTACACAAAGTCAAACAACATAGGATAACAATAAGAAGAGTACAGTATCACAATACTCTAAGTACACAGGAACACATACACACACAACAGTTTATGTCACAGTAGCACGCACTGAAATCATTGGTGTGTATCACATAGGCTTCGTTTAGTTTTAGGTACAATTTTACGGCACTTGCAACACAAATAGGTCAAATTCATATAAAGTGCTGAAGATTTGAGGCATTACTCGGGAGTAACATAATAAGAAAATAAGGGGGAGAGACAAGGACGACAGATAATTTGATAAGATAGAAGGAGCAAACCACACCACAGCACCTATCACAGGCAGGATGGTGCACAAAGCAGAAATTCGGAAAAAAAAGATGTATTTTATCTCATCTTATCTATTTTCACAACAACACAGCCACAGTGAACTGAATATGATCTGTTTATGGTTCGGTAATTCCCACACAGGAAGTTGCTGGTAGACACAGTCCAGTAGTTTTTAACTTTAAGTAAGCCAAGCATGGGCAAGAGCATTCTTATTGCGGGCCGGATTAATAAGCAATTCTGAACATGTCGCGGGTCAAAGCAGGAGAAAATTGGATGACATCAGTTGGAATACCCGAGCTCTAAAAAGTGAGACTAAAACTGACATTATGTATAGCATACATATTATTAGGTAGCGTAAACACGGCCTCGCGGCCTTCCGACTGCGTGGTATCGGTGAAATCGGGGTAATTCCAATCGCTGTTTCTTTGCTCTTTCGCTATAAAACAGCAAATGCCGTACACCTTGTAAAAGTTCAGCTTTTCCTCGTTGCAATGGTGTAAGTTGTTTATATGTCCGATTATTAGAAGCTGGAGAATCGTCGAAGAAAGCGAAGCCCCTCGCAGTCGGAATGCGTGGTCGGCCGGTTAAAAAATTGACAGGCGTGCATTCAAATGCTTCGCGGAACGAGCGATGATTAAATACCGTCTTTTCATTGGCGGAGAACTGTAGAGCTTTAAACGGGCTTTCCCGTAGTATGTATTTGGTCATTAAATAAAAAGCTTTTAAAAATGCTGTCAAAATGTTTAAAGATCACTTTTTACACAAAATATGTAAAATACCGGCTTATAAAAAAATTCAGTGAAAAGATCAGTTTATTTCCTATTAGAATAAAGTTATCAACTTGGAATTATTTTACATCAATCCTTCCGCAAGACCAGGAAAGCATGTGACCCCGCACGCGTGGTACACTAGAGTATAAGCCGACTCGCTTGCCGCGGGGCCCGGTGCGGCGCCGGCGGGGTCAACGCTCTGTTTTTGTCGAAATAACGACAGATCATCGTGTTTGAAGTGATAAAATACTGATTTGTAATGATCTCACAGTCTTGAAAAAAATTAGGCTCCATATATTTGTTATAGTGATTGTACTCTGTTAATGTGGAGATGTTTAGTGCACTTGGTACTCTTTTATTGTCTGTCAAACATGGGGTTGCAGCCAGTGACTGACTTTAACAAATTTAATCAAATTTTAAACAACTACCATTTTCTTAAAAATTGACTGAGAGGTTAAAGAATGGTACCGAAATGCTCTGTGGATATAGGCCTTTCAAATGGAACAGATAAATTTGGCATACAGCTACTTTGAAAATTTAGTTTCTGGTACCTAATATTATGTAACCCAAAGACATTTCATGAGACAAAATATTAATATTGGACATATATTTTTTATTGCTTCCAGCTGGGTCATACATTACTGATTTTTATTTCTTTAATCACTTGTAAATTATCGACAGGCTGAAGGGCTAGAACTTTGGAGGTTGAGTAAGACAGACAGACAGAAACAACTGAAAAGGGTAAAGAAGTAGGCGTCCTCCAACCGCCCGCAAACTCCCCAGGTAGACACTCACAACAGAGAAGCGTGAAAAAAGCTAAGACCCCAAAAATTTGAACATGATAGAAGATGTTTCCTGGTGTTCCAAAATTCTTTTTAGTTCAAAAACTAATTCTTTCCAGCAAGTCTCACTCACTACTCAAATCAGTATGAATGAAGAGATATCACAGAGGTATGAAAATCCAGCTCACAGAGTTTTTACATTTGCATGTGACAGTGTGTGTGTGCGAGTGTGTATGTGTGTGACCGGACGGGGGGAGGTGGGGTTGGTATTGAGCGCAAGATGTATACACACAATTATGCCTAGATCACTGGCCGTGGGCAAATTAAATCATTCCCAAACCAATACTTTTCTAGACTAGAGCAACAGCATTAAAAACATCAGACCTCCTGAAAGACATACAAAAACATCGGACAGAAATGTTTTTGAAATTCATAGGAACATTAAGATGTTCACACCTCTAGCTTTGCTCTTATTCAAAACTAGCATCCTGGGACAAAAGGACACAGTTTCCACAAGTACATCTTGTTTGTTTGAGGAAAGAGAAGCACACCGACACACCAATGGTCATTTAGCGTGGAGAAAAAGTAAGACAGACAGACAGAAACAACAAAGGAAAAGTAAAGAAATAGGACCTCCCGGTAGTGCCTTCCAACCCCCCACATGTACATTTCCTAATGGACCACAAAGACAAGCCATAAAATACCTTTACGCTCATCAAGCCATCCCTTCAATTACTTATCTAGACAGTATAAAGATGAGTTTCCCTTAGAATGTATTAGTAAGAATTTTACAACACTTGCAACACAATAAGTTCATATAAGAGCCGAAAATTAGAGGTGTTACATTAAAGTAATAAACATTTTAAAAAAGAAGCAAAGGAAGATAGATGTTTCATAGAAAAGAAGGAGCAAACCACACCAGAGCACCCGCTAACCACCTGCCAATTCCCGTTATAAGCAGATGACAAAGTTCATATTCATTTGAGTAAGAAAGAAGCCCCAAACTCAGTAAAAGCCTATTTAACAACAGGAATATAGACAAAAACAAACATTTTTAAAGAAAAGACAGAAAGAAACAACTAAAGGACAAGTAGGAAGACACTCCCTTCAAACACTCCCAAGGTGACAAAAGACAAGCATCATATAGACACAATAAAGCCTTCCTTCCTCTCTCAAAACACGACTTCTTGCAACCCTCAACAAGTGAGACATCCCCTTGAACAGAACAGACAGCACCCTAGTTTGCGGAGCATCAAACACCCACGTCAGAATCAGAGCAACAACAGGGTTCCTAACTGTCCCATCAAATAACATACAAAACAATCCAGTGCATAGAACAGCAAATGTCTCAAAACATACATTCCCTCACGTACAAAGCAGGTAATGGTGATCATGTGATTTTCAAATTCCAGTAAACTGACGAGCAAGTCGTGATTGCAATGGTCAGAAATATTACATCACAAACGTCTCATAAGAGAAATGAAACAATTACACGTGACAAAATGTATTATTGCACAAACTGAAAATTAAATGGGATAACAAAAAACGAGAAAAAGCTATTTCTTTTTCAGAAGGGACAGAGGCAAATTCTTAAAACACAAACAGATTGAAGAAGACAAAATGAGACAATGATCAGCGGCTCACGAAGCGCTGACAGCGGCCAATGTGGAATGTGATAAGTGTACTAGTTTTGGTACTGAATTCTCGACCCCGCAACTTTCGAAAGCCGTGACAATGAATTATGACGTGTCCCACTTATTTTGGTACACCCATATCTGGTGAGCGTGCAGCCCTTAAAGCGCAGATGTTTCTGAACTTCCAAGATCACGTACGCAGTTCAAAGCATAAGAGGGAGCGGCAAATAAACAAAATCTGGCGTTCCCAAAACAACAATATTTTGGAACAGCATAATCCTGCATTTTTTTCCTCTCTCTTTCTCCCTGTCTCACACACATACATACACAATATGTAACCACATAGTAAAAAAAAAAGCTAAATTTTCACAGCGACGTCCATCTTGGGCTGACCCAAATATATACACAATCTGCCTATCAATAATACTTTTCTGAACGAACGAAGAAAAGTAAATAGAACGTTTCTCTGAATATCCCGCTGAACCACATCACTACAAACCTGTCTGTAATTTACAATGTGACTTTTGATTTTGCCAATAGGTTTTCAAACAGAACAGAAACAGATGACAATCTCTAATATCGTTTACAGAAACAGTTTCTTCCCAAAACAATTAATAATTCTTGCAGACACTGTTTTAATTAGGTGCACAAACTGTTAGATGCAGACCTAACAATAAAGAACAGGCAGGAAAAACATATCACACAGGCCACAAAGTCTGTTTCTTTATGTTGCTGTAATTTTACAAGAAGCTGGATCACACTACCTGCCCACCAGGTTCAAACCACAAACACACTCGTTTGCCAAGACTGACACACTAAATCATGTTTGGCACAATAAAAAAAGCTTGTTTAACGGTTTAACTTTTGCGTCTGCGAAATGAATATGTATAAATGAGGAAGCAAAAGATACAAAAGTAGAAAGAAAGTTTAAAAAAAGAAAGAAGAAAAAAATTTAGAAACGGAAAGTCTTCACCATTTAAACTAAACACATCCAGCCAAAGCCCTCACTTTGAAGACAAGAGAGCAAAAAAATTTGTCCTATACATGATCACATTTACACCGCGCAGTGCTTCGAGGCTCAAGCTTTATTCCGGTTGGTGTCAGTTCTGATGTGAATCCACCCCCTAGGAACAAAATAAAGAAGGAATCTGACGTATCCAGTGCTTCCAACAAAGCAGAAAAGTAAGAATTTGAAATTTAGTGCTTATAGGGGGTCAAAAATGGCATAAGGGAGTAAGGAAAAGATTGCCAACAACCCATAACATCAATTTTTTCGCCGCAAATTTTTTCTGTTTGATTTCTTCATCTACATGATTTTCCCTTGTCACTGTCACTGTAATTTAATTTGTCATCCCACCGTTGACAGAATGCACATCATGGAACATCCTTCTTCATCATACAGTCACTCAGCATGTACACTAATTTTCCTACATTTTTGCATTTGAATGTCACAACTTCATGGCACCATTTCCAAATATTCCTAATTTTAGTTTGAGCAGCAATTTTTTCCGCTGTGGCCTTCATCATGCTCTCATAGTATCCTCATTCTGGCAATTTATCTACACCTTGACGTATTTGAAAAAAAAGTTTCACTCTGTTAGATAAGTTTTCTTCCTAAAATCACAATTCAATTTTTTTGATAGACGAGGATTTTTTAGCCTAAACGGACAAAAAGAATGAGTGAATTAAATAAAGGAGGCAATTGGCACCAAAATTTTGCTGTAATGACAAATCGGATTTTAACTGATTGCACGTGAAGACATATTACGGACAGAATCCACAATGGAAGTACAAAAGGATAATGGCCGAGTGCAGGAAATGCACAATCTAGCAGGTCTATAAGTAATTGCTGAAAATGATCTTTGCTATCGAATTTAAGTAGCCATTCACTATCCCACTTATTATAGATAAAGTTGATAATGATGAGGCGGGCAAGAACTGAACTTTCAGAAAGTATGGATTTCTGTAAGAATAAATGGAAGACTGGAAGCACTGCATATAAGAAGGCCAGCACATCTCACGATACCACAGTAGGATTTCAAAAAGTGAGAATATTCTTCAAGTTTTCTTGCTTTTTGCAGATTAACTATTAACCCTTACAGCAACGGGGATATTTTTAGCCCTCGCCTCCCTTTTGCCTAGATAATGCTAGAGACTTTGACTCCACAAGCCCAGCCAATAGAGTGTGTAAAGCGCATAGAGCTTGCTGTCGAGCGGGGATATGCGCTATACAATTGCAATTTATATTATTCATTGTTATTAATACTGACCGTTTCATTCAATTTTTTGCTGACCTTTTAAAAAAATGCTTGCACTGCCTTCGAAGTATAAGAAAATAACGAAAAGTACATTTTTCAGAGACAACATTCTAGGTAAAAATGTCCAACTGGGTTTGAGGTGTCCAGCGAGGGGAAAAAGCAAACGCGACGCGGCCTGGGGGAAATATATGCGACTGGGACAGTAAGAGTTGAGTAGACAGAAACTAAAGGAAATGAGAGAGCTTGAAAAAAAAAAACAACCTTAACAATTATGCGATAATAATGAAAGATGCACTTGAACTCCGGCACTCCTGAGCCGAGAGGTTCTCATATCACATTGCAGGAAGGAGTTGCACCCCCCCCCCCCCCCCCCCCAGCTAGAGAAACTACTTAAATTTGAGAACACATTAAGCAAAATGGAATTTATTACCCAAAAAAAAACACAAAACAATACAAGACAAATACAAAACGTCACAACATCATAAACAGAAACTCTTTGATCATGAAATCTGGCAGTCGCTCCACATAGACAAAGTCATCCTTTTGAAATATAAATGGCTTTACTTTCACTACAAATGGGCCCATACTTATTCACAACAGCCCACGTTTTAAAAGACAAGGGGGCAGGCGGAAAAAAAAAAAACTATGGTCAGAAAGACGGCAATACAAATTAATATAGTACACTGTGTTAACCGTAACCCTTGCCTGACTAATCTGTTCTCACCCGCCTTTGTTTTTTCTGGCAGCAGGTACAAAACCTTTAGTCAAGTCAGGGTTAAAATAGAATTTCCAGAAATTTTGGGATGATAAAGCACATGCGTTATACCCCCCCCCCCCCCACGTTGCCCTATACAATGAGGTAGCGCCATGTCTAAACCCCCACCGCCAAATTATGTGGGGCTTTTATTCAAAAGCAAATTAAAATCAATAAGCCTTTGGGGACGCTGTCAAAAGTCAACGAATGTAACCTCATCCACCCCCGTCACGACAACAAATTACAAGGAAAAAGAATCCCACTCAAGCATATTCTAAAAACCCACAGGGTGCATTTAAAAATGATTGTAAATCAATATTTTCCACCAACATGGCAGTTTCGATTGTTTATGATGTGAGCAGTTTCAATCAACCCTGCCCATCAGAGTCAGCCACAGTTGTTTGGGACACAGAAACCAAGCAGAAAGAGAACAGATTCTTTTTTTTTTTTATTAGTTTTTTTTTTATTTGAAAAAAAAAAATCCCAAACAAACAAAAAAAACCTCGTTAAAAAATTGTCCTTCTGCAGAAATCAAATTTGCATCTTCGAAAAGCACCACAAAGAGGAGCCTAATCATGACACCACAGTCGCCAGCAGGGTGCGCTATATCATCCCAAAATTCCGGGGCAATAAGAATACTTGATCATCATGTACATGTACACCAGAGATTAAAGCAGGGGCTGCTGGGGAGGGGGTGGGTGGTACATCGCCATGTTGGTGGGCGGGCTCTGGCTGAAGCTCGGGGCCACCGTGGCGCTGTACTGTTGTTGTTGTATTTGAGGAGGGGCCTGTAGCGTGGGGGCGCCGTTGGCCACGGGGGGCTGCTGCTGCTGCATGGGGGGTGGTATCTGGCCAATGGAGCCGTGAGCCGCGTAAGAGGACATGGGAGCTGCACTGGGCTGCCTGGTGAAGTAAACAAAAAGTTATTTTTTTTAAAGTCCCATTACCAGACCCACTGTGATATAAGCTGTCCACAGCAAAATGGTAATGGTAAAGTATAGTAAAGCCTGTAATTTTCTTTCTGATCATTTAAATGTAAATTGGAAACTTTCCACTCAAACTTTACTGCATCGTTTTCATTGCCACAGATCTAATCTGGACAGGCAAGAAAAATTAACAAGGACTTTTAGTTTACATAATTAGAACCTGGCTGAATTTATATTTTTGTATTGTGATACAGTTTGATCATTTTGCACGTATCAAGCTTTTGCTAAAAGGCTGTACACAGAGACAGAGCAAGATGTTGGGAACCTGACCTTGATGGTGCAGGCTGTCCCAAGTATTCACAGCATCAGTTGACAGGGCCACTTCTGGATTAACATACTCACACATGGGAGGCATTGAGATTGCTCTTCCACTAAGAAAAGTATTTGCGTTCGAGAATGAAGCCCCTAAATATTCTTAAAGAAAATGGAAAAACTATTTCTTCCTTGTACATTACTCAAATGCTTCATCTGAAAATTCAAGAGATATCTGCTTCGTATTGATTTTTTTAAAAACACAAAAAACTTATCCCATACAAGGGTGGCAAATGATTTTAAAATCGAAGCACCCCCCCCCCCCCTCAGAATCTGTCTACCCACACATGCACGCACAGTGTGAAAACTTACGGCGGGAAAGACTGCTGACTGGAGGGTGTGGCTTGTGTCTGTGTGTACGACTGTGTGGGCGCGGCACTCATGGCCCCCACCATGGCCGGCTGAGGTTGGCCCAGGGCGCCTGGCACCATGTACTGGGGCTGGCCTCCGTACACCTGCAGGGCGAAAAGGCTCAATTTTAGGAAAAGATCACGTGTCACAGATACAAACACTAACTGTTCACCCTGCTTCAACGATCACTTGCCCAAGGCAATTTCACCTACACAACAGTTGGGTGATTTTTTTTTTAAAGCGTTCCAGCCGATTTCAACTTCGGTGATTCTGGTAACTACAGACAAAAACAAAACTTACCCATATGGCCGACTTTTGTCAAAACCAACCTCAATCATACAGTAAACCTTTTTCTTTTCTAAACTAACCTCAATCATACAGTAAACATTTTGCTTTTCTCAACCAACCTCAATCATACAGTAAACCTTTTGTTTTTCTAAATCAACCTTAATCAAACAGTAAACCTTTCGTTTTTCTAAACCGTAGGCTTTTTTCTGAACCGACATCGATCATACAGTAAACTTTTTTCAAAACCAACTTCAATCCTACAGTTAACTTTTTTCAAAACCAATCTCAGTCGTACAGTTAACTTTTATCTGAACTAACGTCAATCATACAGTTAACTTTTTCTAAACCAATCTCAAACATAGAGTAGACTTCTGTCTGTCAAAACCTAACTCATTCACACACAAAACTTTATATGGTCACAACCAGACTCACCTGTGCGGGCTGTCCCATGGCAGCGTTAGCGGCAGCGGCTCCCGGCGGGGGTCCCTGTGGCATGACAGGCGGCGTGTACATGCCCAGGGCGATGGCGGCGGCCGATGGCTGCTGGGTCTTGAGGCCCGGGTAGCCGTAGGCCGGGGTCTCCCGCATCAGTGAGTGGTACATCTGCAGCGCTTCCATCACTTTCTTGTTCAGCTCCACCAGGTTAGCGTGTTTCCTGGTTTAAAACAAAAAAAAGAAAAGGTCATTGTATGAGTTTAACACCCTTTTCTACACTGTAAGGTTATTGAAGACGCTGGACCTCCGAATTCACTTCTTTGTTCAGTTCCACCAGGTTAGCGTATTTCCTGGTTTTAAAGAAAAAAAAGAAAAGGACGTTTGAGTTTAGCACCCTTTTCTACACTGTTTGGTTATTTAAGAGGCTGGACCTCCCAGTTCAATGTCTGACATTGTTCTGAGATCAGCAGCCCATTCCACACAGTAAGTTTATTTAAATAGCTGGGCCTCCAAATTCAATGTCTATCTCCAAAAGGACCACGCAAAGAGAGCGGCGGAGAGCTGTGAAAACTTTCCAAAAAACAACCCTAGTTCAAAAATATTGTGAGGGGGAATTGAACCAGGGCCATCCTCACCATAGACCAGTAATGTTATACCAACAAGTTTTACACTTGTTTTATGGTACCGATGCAAGGAAATATACACCATTTCCCACTAAGTGAGCTCACAATTACTACTACTTTGTCTATCCATAAAACTAAGACCACAACTTAAAATGTTGAACCCTCCACATCAATACATACAAAAAATCAATGAAGAGGCAAGATGCTACTATCACTCTTAGGCCAGGACCAACCTTAAGTGAAAGGAATATTTCTCCCCAATAGAAAGACCGTAATACTCGTTCAAATCTTTTCTCTCCATGGAACTTGATTTTGTTTGTTTGTTTGAGTAAAGAGAAGCACATCGACGCAATAATGGTCATTCAGTGCCGGAAAAGGGCAAGACAAACAGACAGAAACAACAGAGGGAAAGAAAAGAAGGGCCTACCAGTGGCGCCCTCCAACCTCCCACATGGAACTTTTGACATCTTTTGCAAAACAATGCGAAGAGCATGACCCCAACAACCCCACTCGGTTCGGAGCATCTATTTGACCACTGCAACTATGCAGTAGGCATTGCTCTACTGTCTTTTAATCTTTGCCAAAAGCAGTAGAATATAGTGCATTATAAAGTATGAAATTACATTAGTTTACAAACCTGTCTACTTTTTCAAGCTCAGCGTCTATCAAGGGTCCCATGGCTTTGCATTGTTCTGGGGACAGAAGCAGTATTGCAACTGTAAATAATGATGATGAAATCCAGCATGTGCACGTAGGTAACCAGGGAAACTTTTGCTTGTCAGAGGAAAAAGAAGAAGCACAATGACAACAGTTGTTTAGTCCAGGGAATGAATAAGAAAGATAGACTGGACTCGGGGGGGGGGGGGGGGGGGGGGGGGGGGGGGGGAGGAGTAGAACCTACCAGACAAATAAAGCCCTCAAACCACCTGTATGTGTGTGCATGTGTATGAGAGATGGAGAGAGAAAGAGGAGAGGAGAAAGGTGAGTGGGTGGCGGAGGGGGAGAGAACAGACAGACAGTGAAAAGAGGTAGAGAGAGAGACAGAGATACGAATGAGGAGAGCGAATGAGAGAGAGAGAGAGAGAGAGGGGATAAAGAGAAAGAGTTAATCCAAAAGTGAATAACCACGAGGCAAAGTTTTAAAAAAGTTCTTCCCCCTCCGTTCCCAGCTCACCTTCCAGCACCAGCATTTGTTGACTGTCCGGCTGAGTCTCTCCAGTCGGGTCAGCGTTCTGGATCAGCGCAAGCACCTCGTCAATTTTACTCTCGTCAATTTCCTCTTCACCCGGCGGCAAGGTGACTGTCTTCACCTGAACCTCTTCACTAAACTGGACAGACTTCTTCTCCACTTTCACTGCAAACAATAAGCCAAGTACAGCAAACAGTAAATGAATAAGTCGAGGGAAGTGAACATTCTTTACTCGTTTTCACAACACATCAGGAAAATGTAAGCACTTTCCAATCCAGGTATACGAGGGGTGGGACCACCCAAAAAAAACAACACAAGGTTATACCATTAGCTTTTGTGTACTAGTTGTTTTTCCCTCTATCAATTCCACACAATCCACAGTAGAAAAATTCAGCTACATGTTTGACTGCACCAGATTGTATACACAAGATAAGTCACTTTAGCACAATAATATGTCCTACTTGTGTGGCGGGTGCCGTAAAACTTACTAAAACACAAGAGAAGTGATCCGTTTTAGGTTTTAGTACAGAAGTTTTAGCCCCACACAAGAGGCCACACACTTAGAGTGCAGACAGAACTACCCACCTTCAGGCTCCGGGTCGACAGACAGGTCACTAGTGACGAAATTAGCGGGGAACAAGCCTTCTCCTCTGTGGTTGGAGCCCTTCCACCAGTTTGGATCGCTGCGGGGAGAAAAGGCTTTTTAAAAAAATATCTTTATTATGGAAACCAAACGAACATCAACAGATCACCCACAAGAACGAAAGATTAATCGTTATTTACTTTATTGTTACAATAAAGACGTGACCCGAAGACACATAAATTAGAGGGGTGATATGCAAAGAAAAGAGACAGGGCAAATTTTAAAACATTGTTCGGTAAGTGTTTTACAGCACTCCCAGCTGCATAAGGCCCCGCGTCCACTGCGCTTTTTCGTCACTTGCAGGCCAAGCTCACATGCAAATGAGCTTGTTTTTGTCAGTCATTGACTGCCTTTGCCTGACTACGCGATTTTCCTGCATGCACGCTTTTTCGTCAGTCGTACAGGGGACTATGAAAGCCTCGATTCGACTCATTTTGGAAGGAAATTTGCATCTTTAAGTACATTTCTGCTTCTTCATTGTACTTTACATGATCAATAAAGTTGTATCACATTATAAATATGCTGTACAATAGCAGATTTATGCTGCAAAACAGCAAAAAAAATGAAACTAAAGCACTTGACCTAGAATCTAGATGTAGATCATTATTTCGTTCTCGGGAGAGCTAAAAATAGGCCAGGTTAGACTTAGGGACGTGTCTAGATCTAGATCTACGTTCTCTAATGTTTAGTGCTTCCAATTTTCCGCCAATTTTTAGTTTTCTCCAGACATTATCTGCCGGTCCACTAGATCTAAGCCTAGATTCTAGATCTACATCTCAATATTATATTGTGTCGCTTTGCCTTTCCTGAAACAGTGCTGTATATGAAGCTTAATTTACCCTTTGCTGATGAAAGTTCTGATGGCCGGGTGAACAACGTCTCTGCGTTTGGAGGCATACATTGTTTTGTGAGCGTGGGTACGAATCCCAGCCCCAGCTTTTTTTTTTTTTTTCCCTTCTCATCGTCCGAACTTACCAACAATTTTCCCCATAATTATAATTTGTTGCTTTTTAGTTTTTTTAATGTGGTAAATAAATAAATAAATCGCCTGTGCTGTCTGTCTGTTCTCGTAATCATAACATACTGGGCTAAAAATTAGGGGCGGGCACGAGACGAGCCGAGTCTCGTTTCTCGCGAGTAACTGCCTTCCCGTCACTGCCCGGGCACTGAACTTCTGCTCGGTACCGAGACGTGATACTGCCCGTTGGCTTGACATAACGAGTAACAGTAACGAGAGTGAGAGAGTGAGAGGCGAGAAATGACAACGCAGACAGTGCCACCCATCACCGTGCCGTCCTGTGTGTGAAACTGAAAGGGAGGGGAGAGGGCGGCGAGATGAGGCGAGTGGGGAGTTGATCAGGGCCTAGGCCTAGGTCGTCTCCCTACCTTCTTTCACCGCCTGCGCCAGCGCAACAGGGCTAGCCTAGTTTCTAATCTAAGTTTAGATCCCCGCCACGACGGTCTTCTCGCTTAACGAGCTGCTCGTTCTGTGGGGCGAGAAGAGAAATCTCGGCCACGGCCGGCCTTCTCGCTGAACAAGTGGCTTGAACTGCGGGGCGAGAAGAGAAATTGGTCATGAGACGAGAAGCATTGCCCGAGACACGAGACAGGCAGTATTTCTCGTTCTCGGGACCGGTCTCGGCGAGAAGTAGGTCAGCTTCTCGGTCTTCTCGCTCGGGAAGGAAAAAGCGCTACCCGCCCGTCTCTACTAAAAATAGGTTTAGCTGGTCTGACATTGGTGGACGCGGATCTTTTTGAGTCGTTTCTACACCACGCAAAAACTTCGTACATTAGCTTGGCCTGGAGGTGATCTTATTTTGGTGGACGCGTAGGCTAAGGGGAGCAAATTTTAAAAAAAAAAAGAATTACTTTCACAAAGCGGTACAAAGGTCAGCAGATCAAGCAGGTCAGCAACTAAGTTAATGAAATAATCCACAGAAAAGTCTTGAGGCAATTTAAGAAAGCATGTTAAAATTCACTCGTGACAAAGCACATCAATACACATTTACAAAGAAAGTTAGGTCCTCTTCTCCCTTTCCAAAAAAAAGTTATCACAAAATAACAGTTACATTCAATTTATTGACCGTGTATTCTCACACACTTCGTTGTAGTATATTTTTTTAAAGGGGGGGAAAAAAAGAAAAGAAAAGAAACTCAAACACCAAAAAAATGACGCAACAGACTTTTAGAAAACACAACATCTCGAAAACCTCTTTCAAAACATGACACAGCAGGCCTACAATCCAACACAGTATATCAGAGGCATCCACAACAATTCTCACCCACCTGTCATCTAATACACAAATCAACTCTCCTGCCTTGAAAGTCAGTTCATTGTCTTCAGCTGCTTCAAAGTCATAGAGAGCACGAACCTGTTGATAAAGCAGTTTTGAATTAGCTCAAAGTCATTGCTAAAGGAAATAGTGCAACAACCCAGTCTTAACCATCTTTTAAGTAAAAGTATTTCTATGACCTTTAAAGCATGAAATATCAGAATACCACCGAGTTACAATCAGAATACGGAGTATGTAGCTAGCTTTTAACACTATTACTGTTTATACAGTTATTCCTGTTTATGACTGCAAGCATACTGCTGAATTATTATGGTTATGTGCACAGACCTGTATGGAGGAGAGTATGTGTGAGAGGGTGTGTGTACATGGGTGTGCGCATGCGTGTGTATTTACTTATGTATGTATGTGTTTGTACATGATAAAACACCAAACCAATAGGCCAGGACCTGGACAATAAAAATGTATCTTATCTTATCTATCTAAAGAGACGAACCTCCCCCACCCCCCACAAAATTAAATTTTAAAAATTAAAAAATTCTGAAACACAACATTGCATAACAGACTCTTAAAAACCCATCTGCATCTAGCATGGCGCTAAAATCATACAAAAAACAAAGATAATTAAAGCTGGAGCAGACGATCAATTTGAGGAGACCCCCCCCCCCCCCCCCCCCCCACTGCACACAACTCCCAATACAACCAAGCTCCTATTTCAGCGACAACCCCTCCTGACCTTTCTTATTTCCTTCTGCATGGGTTTGGCCGAGGCCTGCGAGGACATCCCTGTGTTGTACGACGGGTATAGACTGCTGCTCCCCCCACCCCCCGACGAACTCTTGCTGGACGTCTTGCTCTCCGAGTCTTGCAGCGATAACGCAATTGCTGTCGAGAAAGATACATTTCTTTTTAAAAACCTTACTTTTCTTTGTACTTTGTGGCTGGCTTTCTGTATGCATGTGTCCATGTGTGTGACGGAGAGAGAGAGAGAGAAAACGAGAGAGCGGAGAGAGAGGGGGGGCGAGAGAGAGAGAGAAAGAGAGAGAGAGAGAGAGAGAGAGAAAGAAAGAGAGAGAGAGAGAGAGACAGAGAGAGAAAGAGAGAGAGAGAGAGAGAGAGAGAGAGAGAGAGAATAATTACATTACACATGATTCTCAATCACCACAAGAGATATAACCACCTTACAAAGAGGAGAAAGCAAAATTTATTTACCATTGCAACTTGTTTTTATTATTCTATTTGTTGACTATATTTTGTTACCAAAGTTGTATAGAAACATTACCTTTAGCTAAGTCGTCTTCTTCCTTCCGAGCTTGTGTAGAGGAAGATGAGCTGGAAGCTGGTTTCTGTGAGGCAACGGAAATAATATTAAAAATAAATCTCAAGGTCTTGTTCACATCTCTGTCTAACTGTTTCCAGGTTCAAGTTTTAAAGTTTACAATACATGGAAAGGTCATTTCAAATGAAAGCATTGGTGCCAGCAGGGAGAAAAAAGAAAAAAGAAGGATTTTTCTTTAGTAGTAGTAAGGGTTTTACGGCACTTGCAACACAATAAGGTCATATAAGTGCCGAAGATTAGAGGTGTTACAGAAAAGTAACACATAAAAAAAAGGAGGAAAGATAAGGACGATAGATGTTGGATAAAAAAAGGAGGAGCCGTGTTTATCAGTTAGTGCCCCACTCCTTGCCACAACAGGCTTCCATCTTCCCCAGTCTCTGATTTGATGTATTATTTCGGGAAGTCGTAGACCCCGTAGACCAATGTCGGACATAACGTTTTCAATGTATGACGTAGGAGGTCTATCTGTAGACTAAACAAAGAGGACATAAAAGGAATATGCCCGTTTGATTTGGCTTGACAAGATTTTTAGGTATTAGCAGTTTTTTAAAGCCATATAAGTGCCAAAGATTACAAGAGATTACAATTTACAAGAGTACAAACATTTTAAAAAAGGAGGGTAGCAAAGGAAGACAGAAAATACTGACAGAATAGGCAAACCAAACCAGACAGAGCACCCACCAACAGTCTGCATGTCTAATTGTGAGCCAAAACTAGTCTTTAACTAAAAATTGGTACAGAAACACCTTTCATAACACAACAACCAAGACCCAAGCTTGCTAGCGATTTTAACCCTTAGAGTGCTGATCGCGACCACCGGTCGTGACGGCCCGAACTTCCGTTAAGTGCTGATCACGACCGCCGGTCGCGATAGACATTGGCATAGTATAACGTGATATACATACGAAAAGAACGAAGTACTAATTTTTATACTGCTGGCTGGTAGGCTACACAGAATTGATTTCCGACAAACGTGACAATAATGTCACATCAGATTTAGATGAAGATGTTCCGTGTATTTTCCTTGATTCGGAAGATGATTTCGGGGGTTTTGATGCTAGAGCTAACACTTTGTGGAATATAACGTAGGCCTACGAAGCATCTAGACTCTGGTCTAGATCTAGACAACTAATGAACCGGCAGTTTTTATTCAGTCATTTCCAACACAATTACTACAACAATAACTTCACAAAATACTTTTTGCTTCACATATTCATAAAGAACTTTCAATATTCTACAACTTTTATTCTTACTTTCATTAGAAATTTTGACAAATAAAAAAGTTATTAGCCAAAAAAAAAGCCTATGTGCTAATCTGGCGTTTTTCCAAAATAAATTCAGCACAGAGGGAAAATATAAGGGGAAAGAAGTCTGCGCTGTAAACCAACAGAGACAACCAACACCTGTTACAAACACATTCATGTGAGAATGAAGTAAATGGAAATCGATCAATACTGTGCTGTGGTTTCAATCAGATATCAAATTATGAAGAACAAAGAAACAGATTACTACCTGATATTAAGGGAAAGAAATTCACTCACAGTTAAGCTATCTAACTATAAACCATGACAGCAACAGCACAAAACTTGTGTTTCCTGACACACAACAGTTTCTCAAAAACATTGCTTGTCGTCGCTCACATACTAACTGTTATGGTGCAACATTTACATATACTGAAGCTTACTACACTCCATACAGAATTCTAGACGTAAAATTTTTTGGACATAAAAAAAGTTAAGAATAAAAACAAACTCACCACTTCTGAATCCACAAAATCAAAACCTTCTTTTTTCAAACTGTCATAAAAGGATGGAATTAAGCTGAGGAATAAAAAAAAGAAAGAATAATAATAATAATAAATATTATAACAACAAAGACTCAAAGGTGATTTCTCCATATTGTTTTATAATGAGGCAGTGGTAATGTTCACAAACACAAGAGCAAGTAACTGTGTAAAGTATATAAATTGCTTCCTACAACAGCAAACCATCATTCATATAGCTGCAAAGAGATTATCTCACAAAATAAAGATATGATTCTGATTTCTCACTTGCCACTTGAAGACAACATTAGGAAAATAGACATATCAAGGCAATTACTTCACCAACAAAAACAGCAGCTACCCAGCAGACTCTTAACTATTGTCCTGCGTCTGAGCCGAGATGCGAATCTTATCAGCAACCGAATACATCGGACGTGCCGGGAAGGCCGCCGGGGTCACTCATTGTGTACCGGTGGTGTACAGCGCACGCGCGCCGGGAAACGCGTGTTTTCGCCATGAATACCGTGGAGTGTGTTAATCGATGAAAAAAATAACGCTCTATCTTTCATAGCTTTCTATTTATAAAGTGTTACAAACACATGAATAACCCCCTCTCACAAGCTGATAAGACATTACGAGTAGCTATGCCCATTTGAATAACCTTTCTGAACGCTCTTGTTGTTATGAATGACCTGAGGTTCGAAAGGGGATAAAATAGGTCAATTTCCGAATGTTTTACACTCAAATTGTTCTTTGTACCTGCACAATGGTATAGACCTGCATGTGAGCCTCAACCAGATTGTCTGAAAATTTTGCGCAACCCCCCCCCCCCCCAAAAAAAAATTTAGAGCTTTTAAATTGTGGGTGTCATAAAAGGAAGGATTTCCTAGTAACGAGCGACCACCCGAACAAACACAATAAAGAAAAGACCTAACCCTAACCCAAACCCTATCGGCCTACCCCTAGGCCTAACCCAAAAAAGAACCTGCAACGGCCCTCATGTAAAAAGGCCAGCACAAGTCAAAAAAAAAAAAGAAAGAAATAAGCACACTCCAAAAGAAACAAGGAGCATTTGTAATAATAAAAATAATATGGCCTACATATAAAGAGTTTGATACAATTCAATAGAATTGGATAAAGATCTATGAATCCTCCATATAGATCTCAGTGATCTAAATAAATCTAGATCTAGATCTAGTAGAACAAGTGAATAGGAATAGATCTAGAATCTAGACCTTGAACGAGAAATCCGCATCCGATTCCGAAGAGAGGGACTCAGTTGAGTCTAGGGGTCTAGATCTAGATCTAGATTAGATCTTTATTCTAAATAAATAATTCACGCACCAGATAAAATGCGTTTTACCAACATTAATATTACAGCACAACCTATAATATGGTTTGACACAATAGAATTGGAATATGAATCCTCCATTGAGGTCTATAAATAATGATCTATATAAATCCCGATGTAGATCTAGATCTAGAGTAGAACAAGTGAGTCGGACTTGAAAGAATCCACATGATCTGAACAATCAGTAAACAAACGAAATTCAAAATGGCCGCTCGAGCAAGAAACTGAAAGTAGATCATTTAAGTAGTCGTACTTGTTCGTATTCGTACTTCTACTCAGGTTCCGACAATTATGTCGGAAACGCCGACGTCGGCAGTCGGCGGTGCGCGCGTCGGCGGTCGACACGAAAACGAAAGTGGCGACAAAGCCAACGGGAGAAAAAGGGGTCGCTGGCACACGTCCAGGCCTCGCACTTTGAACATTGACTAACACAGGTGGGCCTAGCGATAGCATCGGCCGGTTCGCGGGTCGGGGTCGCGATTGTCGGATTTCAGACGATTGTCGGCAAACATGCAGGTCTAAATGGTATTCAAAACTATCAAACAAGCTTATTTTTTATCAGGTAGTATCATTTCATACAAAATCAAGCTCATTTGAAAGATTTTGTAGAGAAAAATGGAAGTCTTGTTTCCTGACTATCCTTTCGAGCTCCTCATGTCGAAGAGGGTCAATTTCTTCTATAATTTCATTGGACGAACATCTAGAGCTACCAACTTGGCGTGTTTTGAATGAGACGTATGCCTCGATTACCAACCAACGCAGGCGGTTCTAGAAGAAGGCCACAAACGCACACAAACTCAAGCAGACTGATGCACACACACTTGGCCTGCGCGAATGGGGTCCGACCCGGGACCTGAATTCACGTAAAATGATGCGCGCTGTGCGTGCACTGAGCCAGGGGCTACACTGATTCGGGACCAGAACGTAGGCAAGGTGCCAAAATAGGCTTATCGGGCGGCATAAATCCGGCTCCGGCAGGATGAGGGTTAATTACTTTTAAAAAAATTCAATTATCCTAAAACAGCATGCACCACCTCCCACCCGACAAAAAAAATTAATTTTTTTAAAATTTAAAAACACAAAAATGCACAAATGAGACTCCAGATGCAATAAAAATACAACTTCAATCATATTTTTTTCCTTAGAACCTGAATAAAATGAGCTGTTTCACGGTGATGACTTGTGATGACTTACTTAAGCGCTGCATCATCCTTGAACTCTTTCATCTCCGCCCACTGTTTGATTATTAATCCTAATCTCTGAGCCACTTTGGGATGAGCCTGAAAATCAAATGAACACTCAGTCAATAACTGTTTTAACACCTCGAGGAGTTTCAACACCAGGGTTTTAGACGCCACTGAAATGATCAGACCATGAAATATCAGGAGGCAATAAAAACTAAAAAGACAGCAACTTGCAATAAAAATAAGTCATATAAGTGCCAAATACTAAAGAGTAACATACAGAGAAAAGATGGATAGATGGCGACGATATATTTTTGATAGGAAAAAGGAGCAATCCACACCACAAATACCCGCCAACTATCCACCAACACGTTCTTAAGAAAGGAAACACCACTTACTGCTAAAGTGCAACATTTTCTGGTTCAATTTTAGATTCAGTTTTACGGCACTTGCAACACAATTAGGTCACATAAGTGCCAAAGAATAGGGGTATTATATTATAAGAGAGAAACAAACACAAAAAAAGAAGGAAGACAGACAAGGAAAATAGATGTTTGAAAGGAAAAAAGAAGCAAACCAAACCAGAGCACCCGCCCACCACAGCACAAAAACCTCTTTAAATTATTTCCCATTCATACATGCAAATCAAAAGTCAAAATTTAATACAAAACAACAGATTGTACATTGTGAGAAGGCCAACTTCTGACCTGACTGACTGAAAAAAAAAGAAAAGACACTCACCTTCTGTGATATCAAAGTCCGACATTCAGACACAAAGTCTCTGGAGCAGATCTCTAAGTGGAACAGACGGCCACAGTTGTTAACACACGCATCAAGCAACTGAAAGGGAGGAAAATAAAAAAACAAATTACAAGACGAAATGTGGATCATCTTTTAAAATATTACTTTTTAATAGAACATTCATGAAATAAGACAAGTATGCACATATTGCAAATTTTTCCCTTGGGCTACAGAGAAACCCATCACGATTATGATACAGCATAATCAGTTCTGTACACATAAAGATAGAAACAGGAACTGCACCAGCTCTATCAAAACACATACCTCCAATTACAAGCAACAGCAAAATCTACCAAAGTCAGAGAAATATTCATCTAATCAACTCACCGTCAGAGCCTGCATTGAAACAAAAGGGACTTTGTGGTTCAGTCGTTTTACAATGGACTTCAGACAGTCCTTGGCCCTGTGAAGAAGCAAATTGGAAATAATAATAAACCAACTCACACTCACCATGAAAGTAGCAATTTATTGAAACTAGACATTCTTTATCTATCCGGTCTAACCCCAACAAATAGTAAAATATCTGATTACACTTACAAGAAATATACTAGGATTTCAAAGGAATCAGAATTTAGACTACCCCTTAGCTCACTTGCACCACTTCCTATGTATTTATAGGATGAGCTGCACCCGAAAGCCAGATCCCAGGTGTCTGCAGGATGGGCCTAATCGATCAACATTTCCGGTGTTTTTACCGTAAAAGCTACTAGAGGCAACAGGCCAACTGTTGAATCACTTGCTTTATTTCAGTTAAAGTTTGGTGGGAGTTTTAAGAGATATGTTGCACAATCTGTGAAATACTTCTATTGGGACTTCACACAAACTCAAAATGCATCAGAGATAATAAACTGCTTGTTTGTTATTTCAGTGTTACTAAGAAAATGTCCTATAATACATGGAAAAAACCCCCCCAAAAAACAACAATCTCTTATTGTTGTTTATTTATAACAGGAGAGTAATTTTCTATTTGGTAAATTTAACGTTGAAAAAATGGTGGTAAGACACACCCCACCCCCACCCCCCCACACGACATTGTCAGTTTTCAAAATACTAATAAAATAAAAACTATATTTTGTCAAATTAGATGCAAGAGCATTTCTTTCTTTCATATTTTGTAATTTTCAATGATAATGGCTTTCCCTGACTTTTCAATATATATACCTCAAAACTGCCAGATTGCAATGGTAGTTGGGTTTAACTCACTGAAGACGCAAGGTTTTAGTCATTCTGTACTCTGCATGCACAAATCTTTAGTAATCATGAAAAATTCCAGCGCAACATTATTAGTAAGCTAACTGCACATATTATCTTAACTCACTTGAATACGGGGCATTTTCAGAAACATATTATGCTGGAGTGGAGGCATTTTATGAGGTTTGTTAAAAGGTCCCAATAATTTAACTACAAACACGGTATACATCGAATTTACACAACAGTAACACCAGAAATAGTACATTCCAATGCACACAAAAAACAAACCCAAAAACAAAAACCTGTTCATAGGTTTTGCTCGATGACCTTTCAAAAATGTAGAAAACTTTCACACATGCAGAAGTATTTTTAAGAGTACTTCAAACAGGTGTAAATATGGGGGGGGGGGGGGGGGGGGAGCTTAATTTGAGTGTAATTGAAAGTACATATTCTACAAAAAGTTTTCTGAAGTTGAAACATTATTTTTAAGTTGAATTTTAAAAAGCAGGTTTCTGTGCAAGAGGAAATGTCACAAATTGGACTGATGATTGAAACTCTCTACCCTTTAAATGTTTTGTTTACCACGCTGACTTGCACGAGTTCTATTAAGATACAAATTGCCACCCAAACCTACTCAAGTTCCAGCGCTTGTACAATTAGGCCTTTAATATCCACATTAAAATCATTGCTAACATCATTCTAAATATCTCAAATAGAGCATCAGGTTAATCTGAACTTCATAAGGAATGTTGACATCGTGACTATATGATATTTCCTGCAGCATTTCCCGCAACTTATGTGGTAAATTGGAAGCACTTTTGCGTTATTAGCATAGATCCCGAGAGGGGGGTGGGATTAGACAGAGGCGCTTGGTCAGGCTTTCTGCAACAAGAGCAAGAAAAGACTCAGTGAGTAAAAACAAATGACATATATACAAAAATAAAAGGAACATTATTTACCCATTTGGTTGTCTTGAGACTTTTTCACAGATATCTAGTATGAGGCTCCAGTCCTCCGCTGTGTTCATCTCATTTGTCACCTTTTCTGAAAGCAAAATGTAAAATACTTGAGTAAATACAATGGCCTTTAAATGAAATCTGAACAACGTCAGACATGAAGAACTTATAAGGATAATCAAGAAACTAGACTTCAATTTCATAATTGCAAACAGCTTCTAAAATTAGCTTACACAAAATGTTATTTCCTGATGTATAGATGTATTTGATGGTTTTGAAAACTTTTGTAGGTATTTCTTTCACTACCGTCTCATGTTCAGGTTGTAAAGCCTTTTTCTTTACATCACACAACACAAATTGCAACACAAATGCAAGTTATCAAGGCCCCCGTTTAGTATTCAAGTATCCTTCCCCCCTTTCGGGTTCACATAAGCGCGGCCTCGTTCGTAGTGCCCAGAGGCAACCGATGGCTGATGACGTCACTCCGTGGAATTTTCCCAGCCGCCGGTCGTTCACCCAGCACGCGCAAATGGCAATGCCGCTTTTCCCTTAGTTACTCCCACATTTTTAAAGATTACGCCAAAACCGCTAAACACAGAAGCATGAAATTTTAAGGGAATAAAGAAAAATGGTGTACAACGTATCAGTCAGTTTGACAAATCACAGCTCCGAAAAACCTTCAAAGGGCACCACATCAAACACTTTCGCAAACGTTTTCAACTGCTTCTTGGATGGGTACAAAGTTGTCAAACTGCATACTACGAGATTGACCTCTTTTCTGACTGGCTGCCAAATTTCATTCATATCCATTCACGAAAAGCGGCGTCAGAGCGAGTTGAAGACAACAACCTTTGCGTTAGTTCGTCCCACGAAACATCCCCGCGGCGAGGGCCAAAAATCGGCAGAAAAAAACGCGCTCGGTGGGCATTGCTAAACAAAGATAGAGCATAATTTTCATTGCTGTTTAACACTACTCCATAGGAGGCCAACAGTAATCACAGCGAAGAAACACATCCCTGACCTCCCACAGCACATGTGCTGACTACTGAACAGAGTAACCTGGGTGCCCTACTGGCCCTTCAAAGAAGTGGGTCATCAGAAGAGTTGCTTCCGTTGAAGCCCGTAGGGTGTGAGTTAAAATTCAGCAGGCCATATTTGACTAGGGCTACGGGCACTACTTAAAATGGAAGAGGTTATTCTCACCCCGGGTGAGAATAACCCATGACTCGCTGTTCTCACACCCTCGTTTTATTGAAAATTACACTAGAGGGATTAGGGCTGAGGTTAGCGGGCATGCCCGGGGGGTCTCAGGGCTGATGCTCCACAGCATCATGTTCGTCACTGTTCGTGTCCGAATAGTCAGTCAGGGTTCTCGGTTGGGAGCCAAATCCCAGAAATTTGGCTTTTGGATCGTGTCTGGCCCTGAGAATTTCATTTGGTTCTCTTTCTCTTTTTTGGCTCCAAACTCCAAATGTTTAAGAAGAAAGGAAAAGAAGAGGCATGAAAATCAGAAAAATAAAGAATAAGAAAAAAATGAAAGTGAAGAAAAGAGCTTGTATCGCTTAATTATTTTCTAGTTATCACGATTTAACGCCCTCGCCCATTTGGTCTGAATAATTATAATAATTAACAACCCTTCTACCGTTGTGCAAGAGCATTTATTGTCTCGTGCTTGTGTCCCGCTACGTTTGTACATGCTCTCTGTTCCTTGAACCATAATTTATTGTGTGCAGGCAAAGAGTGAGAGGCTTGCCATCGTTAAAGTAAACAATGAATGGTCCAACTGGCAGTCAGCCGCAGTCGGTCCCACATCCCACTCAGTAGCGTTGGTAGTGAGCCTTTTTTTTACTGGAGAGGCGAAAAATGTTTCACATTATTATTCGTTCCCAACCACATGCGGTAAGCCACCAAGGGCCTAGTTGATTTTATCGGCCTGCGAGGGGTCAGGGAGGAGTCATCGCCTCATGTCCACATTGGGGTGGGGGCTGATGAGAATAGCGAGTCATGAGTTGTTCTCACCCGGGGTGAGAATAGCGAGACATGGGTTATTCTCACGGTGAGAATAATGATCGCCATTTTAAAATTTCAATTTTGGCAAAATTTGGCTTTTTGATTTTGATGGTCCCACTCACCATGTCCAAGTCATTAAAAAAAGTTATTGAGATGATAGTCACCTACCCCATCATCTATGGCTTTCCATTTAACCCTAGTTTGAATTTCTTAATAGGCTGGCTTTATATCTCCGAACGTTCGGGAAAATAAACTCGAACACCGTTTCTCTGAACGGTTTCCGTTCTCGAGATTTGTTGATAATAAGAGAATGGAGTGGCCCGTGTGTGAGTGAACATGTGTGTGTGTGTGAGAGTGTATGTGTGTGTGTGTATGAGAGAGTGTGTGTGTGTGTGAGAGTGTGTAGCAATGCCAATCGGGCTTTCCCGCGCGGCGAAAATTTGGTCCCCGTTTGCGGGCTATTTTGCGGACCCGGCCGAAGCGTAGGTGACTAACTTTGTCAACCTCGGTCTGCTCTATTTCTGAACCAATCCGAATGAAACTCGGCAACCAATCAGAAAATAGGGCAAACTAATGATATGTGGACGTTGAAGTTTGTACACATAAATTAACCTATACTTTTGATGTCGGGAACACTTTCGTATCGTGTACACCGAAAACTATAAGGAGTTTGAATTTCAACGCCGAGATGGTAATAGATCTATCTATCCTCTATAGTGTGCTCAAATTTGAACGTTCTGTGTCGAGTAGTTGTTTAGACCCGATTATAAAAACACGACTACCCCCCTATTCAAAGCGGCTTCGCACGGAGACCGGCCATTTTCCCCTCACTCTCGTGGCAAATGTATGTGACCTAAAATCTCCGCATGACTGTTCCGGGCTGGTTCATTGGTCACTTGAAATAGGGCAATGGCGCACGCGCGCATCCGGTTGTTTTTCTCTCTATTCCCCTGTAACATCGCTATGGGGGTATTCCGAGGCGAGGTTATCTCGTCTCGGGGTGTTCGCGTCTCAGCGGGGAAAAATAATTTTTAATTGTACGGCATGCTAGATTGAATTAACTTATCTTTTACGGTTGGCATGGTCTAAAGTCATCATAAAAAGCTTTGCCGACATATATTTTTAAAGATCCCATGGTGTGATACGATGATGCTATAAATAAAATGGACTCATCCCGACACCCCTTTTTCGCAAAATCGTAATAAAAGAATTAAAAAGGGGCTAAAGTGAAAATTTAAATTCACTGGCATTGCTAGAGTGTGTGTGTGTGTGTGAGAGTGTGTGTGTGTGTGTGTGTGTGTGTGTGTGTGTGTGTATGTGTGGGTGTGTGTGGGAGGTTTGAACGGGTGGGGCGGCGTCGAGGGATTTTTTTCCCTTTTTTCTTTACCTGAAGGATTTTAGTTTTTGGTGGGTGACTAGATATCTAAATGCAAAATAGGTTACTGCCAAGGTCGAGCAGTCTTGTTTTCTCGCAGTACCTTTTGAAGGTACTTTCAAATGATTTATAGTCCGGGAACGTTGCCCAACCACAACTGAAGTGTATCTGAATTGTCAGACATTTAAAAATCTCTAGATCTAGCTCCAGAAATTGAATTTGATGCAAAAAATGCTTCTTCCCAGACCTCGCAGAATGAAAGAATGACGCCTAAATCTCGCAAATAACCCTAAAAATCTTGAGATTCGAAACCGTTTTCTGAGAAATAGATCTAGAATTTAGATCTAGATCTAGATTTCAACTTTATTTTCCGGCCACCTCTATTCTCACCCGGGGTGAGAATAGTGCAGGCGAGTCTTTTGGCTATTCTCACCCGGTGCGCGTTCACGATCTAGGCCAACAAATTTTGCGTTCACCCTAAACCACAGAATTCTACACTGTGATAACATAAAAATTGTAGAATTCTGTGCTGTGAACAAACGTTCCATTACAATTGTACTTGTAGCCTACCATACTAAAAGCGTGCAATTTTGATTGTGGGCAATGGAGAGAGAGAGTGAGAGAGAGAAAGAGAGAGAACAAAACAAAATGGCGACCCGCGTAGTTCGGCTCGATTCGAAAAGTTAAATAGCCGTAGCATCTTGTGTTTTAACATAATTTTTTAACTTTGTTTTGGTCAATTAGATCGTCCACACCAATAGACAGTGTATTCAGAAAGAGACAGAGAGAGAGAAGAGGGGAGGAGTAGATCTTGCGAGAACTTCCGGGCGGGTGAGAATAGCCACTTTCTTATTTTCCTGAACATTCGGAAAAATAGTCACTTCGTACTAAATATCTACACTTTAAGCCTAAAACTAATCTAGGCCTACTGAAATAACTGAACAAACCTAAAAGCATAAAAGTTCCAGTTTTAGTCTAATATAAAAGTAAGAGAGATTAACTTGTGGCAGTGACAACTTTTGTGACATTTTGTCTGTCAGTCTGAGTCTGGAGATCTCTAGTCTCTAGGCTCTAGGCCTACCAGTTAAACGACTTGGATCATTCTAGATCTAGATTTAGAAATAAACATTCACTAACAAATCTTTCCCCAAACAGTAAACTAAATTTGTCTAGCTCAAACCTTAGGACACACTTTTTTAATTATAATATAATTGCAATACTACCGATCAATTAACCAGTGAGAAAGCAGGTCTTGTGATTGTGAGACTGACAGGATAATATAAACAGTAGTAAGGGTGCAATAATATCAAGAGGTAAAAGTTAAATTGGAGACCTCTACAATACATACAGAACAAAAACATTTCCACATTAGCTTGAAAAACAAAAACTACTCTATATACATACCGACATCAGCGTCGAAAGGTGTTGCGCTGTTGAAAAACGGCATTGTCTTTCTCGTCTTTGACCAGGAAAACAAATCTTTATCAAGAAGGATTACATTACAACATTGTGCTTTTAATGCGCATGCGTAGTGACGTCAAGACCGGATGTTTACCTCTTAATTGTATAAATAATATCAGAGAGTATTTAAGAGTCTCTGATAATATTAGACAGATCAAGGAAATTGCACTTATAAAATTGAGTATATATGACAAAAGAGTTGCCTGATTGAAAAAGCATTATTGCCATTGTATATGTTTAGTATTTTCGGGTTGTCTATTTCCTAACTGAAAGTTGCCGTTTTGTATCAAGTATTTTCATTTTCATTGAAAGTCTAGCATCTTATCCACCTTTCAGCCTCACAGCTCTTCTACGAAAGGAAAAACCATTCTCTTACAGCTTTCGCTTTTATAAAATCTAGATCTAGGCCTACGGATCAAAACATACATGGACGATTAGCTCAACAGTGAGACAGAGGTAAAATGAGTACATAATATAATGGTCGATTCTGTTATTTTTCTTTAAATAGTGAGTGTTATGTGACATGCAATCATGCCAGTTTTATTGGCTAAGCTTTCAAATGATATCAATTTTAGCATGTTGTAGATCTAGATCTAGAATCTAGATCTAGATATCTAGTGAGAACCAATCATGCCGCGTTCCAAATATAGCAGTGGTTACAGATTCAGGCCACACGCTGTGACGAGATCTCCTATCAATACTATCATCACTGTCATTGCCACACCAATCACACTGATAACACTGTGAGTGATAGTGACATGCTTGACAAAGAAAGTTTGTCTTAAACAAAGGAAACGGAAGGGGTGCTCATTTTGATATGTGATCATGTGAGATCGTCAGGCTATAATATTAGTTTTGATCAGATCATCATGTCACAATTATGATGACAGTATTGACAGTGACAGTTGAATAACTGTGTCTTTTTGAAGTAGAATCTATAGTTTTTAGTGTTGACTAAAGTCAAAGTAAGATTTACTGGCTTCTTACCTGAGGCCTGAGATAGAATTGCTGTCTATTTCTCAATCCAGGCTCAAGGATTTGTAAAATTCTGGTTTTTATTTACGAATTTAACACTGAGTGACTTCAGCAACATCGTCTTCAAGTAAAGATGTCACAGTCTCTGGTATTGTTGTCATCATGTATCATGTTGTTCTTCGTGTCAACTGTCATGTCATCGTATGAAGTTTGGCCCCAGCCCCACAGAAAGTATAATGGTCGCCCACCTACTGGAGCACCCTATTGCCAAGCTGGCGTGATTCCTTTTTGCCCCACCGGCCTCCGTCCAAACTACATGCCCACTGTGAAGCCTGATGATGAGTTGATTGTTTATGCCATGAAGGCCCCTGTTTGGGAGTTCAAATTTGGTTCTCTGCTGGAGAAGTTTCATATCATGCATGATGCTATCGGTTTTCACCATGTGCAGTCTGGTCTCAACCTGACCATGGAGTGGTATGAGTTGTTCCAGCTGTTTAACTGCACGTTCCCCCACGAGCCAAAGGCAGGTACTCTACGTTGGTGCAATCAGGGTGCAACATGTATTTACATGGGCATTGATGCCAAGCATTGGAAAGAGAATGGTACCCTTGCCCAAGTTGCTGAAATCAGTGGTGATGTCTTTAACAAGTTTGCTAACTGGACTGAGACTGATAACAGCACATATCCTTTTTACGAGACGTGGACTGTCAGAGAAAAAGCAGGAAACAATACTGTTTGGTTCAACCCTTTTGACTGTGCATCATGGGTTCTACGTGCATTTGAAAAGATGCACGAGTTCGGCGCTGAGTTCAACCAATTTGTTCATCTAAACTATACAAAAATCAGCCTGATCAGTGGAGAACCACAGTATGTCGGCAATTCCTCAACCATTTACGAGGATCCTGACACTCTCAAAAAGCTGATTCAATTCTACTCAAACTTTCAGCACTATGACAACTACTTCACAATGCTAGAGAACTTACTCTTGTTCATTATGAAATTCGTGGTAGACGACACGTTTTACTTGTTCTACAATGATCAGTACTGGAAGCTGCCCCTTAAGTCCCCCTATATTGAGCTGACCTATGATGAAGTTCCATTGCCCTCATGAGGAAACTTATGCTAATCCGCTATTATCATTGTAGCTTGGAAGTGATTTTTTTATCTTTGATTTGTATTCCAAATTCTTGTTGATTTGATTTTTACTATTTGTTGCCAAAGCTTTTTAACCATATATATATGCATGATTTGCACTCTTTACTTGTGATTATGATAAAAAGATACTTTGTTTAATAACAACTCTAGAACGCTGGACTTTTGTCTGATCACAAAAACAGAAGAAACTCCTCTGTATCTTACACTTAATTATAGTGTTGAAGTTAAAGTCTTTTTCTTGGTGCTTTCACTTCCTCAGCATATGAGTAGGTCTATATTGATCACCCTGTTGCACTTCTAAAGGCGAATCTTGTGTTTTTGATCCTGCACCTTTTTCCTGCAAAATTTTTATACCCTGTTATTCTATTACTGGCGTTTGAAGAGGGGTGGAAAACACCAATGTGTTGAATGTGATAAGCATTGATTTAAACAAAAAATAGCTGGTTGCTGTTTATAGTTGAAACTCATGAAACAGCACATTCATATTGCTTGCTCACTCTGTGATTCAACGACTATAACAATCAAGCTGTCAAAAATTTAGCTTTTTCTATTGTTTGTTTTAAAAAATTGTATACGATAACTGGAATTATGTGCTCTTTGGGCATATGAAGTTATATACATTGGTATAACTACTGAAAGTTTGTTTATTTATCTTGCCTTTGATGGAGAAAAAAATGCCCATCTATCTTAAATAGAAGTTGAATGCAAATTTACTTTTAACGTGATTTTGATCAAAATATTTATAAATCCACACTCCTAGGAATGTGTTTTTAAATGGACAATAAATGCGTCAAGCCAAAAGCAAAAAAAATAAAATAAATAAAATATAATTAAAATTGCCTTTTGGGTGGAAAAATGTTGGGTTTCTTGGATTTTACTTTTTTGACGAGCACCTGATTTTCAGCATGATTCAGCACAAATATGTTTTGTTTTTTTGTTTTTTTAATTTTGTGTGTTTTATTGAATTTTAATCTAAATTTTTATATAACTTGTATTACAGTTGTCTCTGCCTAAGATCTCACCTCTTACGATCCCAGTTCGCTTACAATCCCACTGTTTTTTAAGAAAATAGAATTTTTGCTATACAAAAGCCACCCCTAAGATCCCGCTCTGATTCACTCTGAAGTTCTACATTTCAGATAATAATTTACGGAACAAAAACTCAGACAGGCATAGCCAAACAACTAAGAGTGAAAATTTGAGATCATTGAACCGCCCGTCGCTTAAAAGATCAACCACTCTCATGAATGGGATCACAGGCAGTGTAAAACTCAATGAATCGGTACAATGCTTGCCCTAAACGCGATCAGACTGAGGTGTGAGCTGATTGATGACGCATTTGTTTTTCCCACGTTGCACTTTACACTCGCATCTGAGTTCTCTACCTAAACTTACATCACTCGCTGGGTGGGTAGGGCCTACAAGTTAGTTCCAGGCGTGATCACATCGAACTGTGAACTCATCCCTGACCATTGCAGCAGAGTTTTCTCTACTCCCAAATTTGCGAGACAGGCTGAATTTTAACTGGTGTGGTCACAACGTAATGGTGCATAACGACAAAAGAGGGGGAAGTGGGTCAGAGATGGAAAAATGGGCAACTGGATAAGCATAGATCATGAGACTCACGATAGGATTTAATAAGTGTAAATGGCATGCCTCATGCCACTGTGTTTAGTCATCAAGGTTGACCACTCTTCGCTTGATTCATGAACCCACCCACGGGTCACATCAGTTCATTTTAGAGTGGATGGAGAACATTTTACTGGTTGTGGGTTAAGCCTTACTCCCGATCACCAGGGTATTAGGCGGTGACTACTGTGTACTACAAACCTGCTATGACATGTATCATTGTACACTGCCTTCGTGTTAATTAAATCTTGTGAGAAGGCAAATTCTTTATTTGTCAGGTTCTTCTTGATTTTTGTCCATGCAGCACGCATGAACTCATCAAGCTTGACGAGGTTGGGTTTTTTTTCATATTGTTATTTGAAAGTGATTATAAAGTTGTATTTTATTTTACTTCTACATTAAAATGTCTCTTTTGTGTATAGTATTGTCATTTTTTTTAATGGTCTTTTTGTAATGGAAACTAGAAAGATAGATTCATGGATTTTGGTGGCTCATTTACAGCATTTGGGACAGTAATTTAAGGCAATGTGTCAGGTATTGAGAAATTTGCATGGTCATATTGGACAGGTTTGAGGACTTTAGGGTTGATAATTGATAAGATATAGCAATCGTGGTTGCTTCGGGGAGCTGGTCATCTGAGATAGTGTCATGCATAAAGAAACACAAGGATGAAACAAGGAAGTAGTCTTTTTGTACACATAGTAATCTTGGTCAATGGTTGCTAGAATAGGTTCACCTAGTATATATATATATATAATGTTGTTAATTGCTGAAATTTGTCTGCTTTGTTTGTAGTCCTTTTTTTTGGGGGGGGGGGGTGTTCTCGAAGTAGAATTATATATTTTTTTATGCTGTTTCAAATTGAAATACAATAAATGTGCAATAATTTTGTCCCAAATACCTTCTGTTTGTAAGAATCAACTGTGATTGTCTTTTTTGTGAACCCTTAATTATAACTCATGATATCTGAATTTTTTCATGTGCACAAAAAATCCAAATTAATGCATTAATTAAAATTATGCTGGTTTTACTTTTTCTCCTCTGTCTAAAAACCGTTGTCCTGTATCATCATTTGAAAAGAAAAAAAAAGGTAAACTGTATTTTTACCAGTATTTTGTTTTTAAATTGGTATCCTCCCCTTCAGTTTTTGTATCGTGAAATGTTACCTGGTGATATAAATCAGAAGCATGTCCTTTGGGTGACTAAAATGATGCAATCGGAATGAACTGGCTTGCCAAAAAAAAAATTTTTCATTTGTAAAGTTGTGTGAGCCTTCTGTCACAGGGTATACAATGCTTTTTTTTTAAAATATATATTTATATATATATAGGCCTATAGCTTTAAGAAAACATTTTTAGTGTACTTTTTAAGTCTTTTCTTTGAAATGCACTCCTAAATTTTTTCAAGGATTTCAGCCATCCCTATGATATAGTTTATTTTATTTCTAAACTTGAAGGACACATTCTGGAGTGTTGTTTGATGGTGACAGGTTCTTTTCATTCTTCTGAGAATATTTCTACTCACATTTGTTTCCATTTCGGGGACCAAGTGTCTCGTCCTAAAATGAGCTTAGGTAAGGTGTTTTTGTTTTTGTTTTGTTTGGAGTGTTTTTTTATTGTACAAGGATCAGTAAAAATAAAAATACCTGAAGTCTAAACGGCATTTGTGCTTGTTACTTTTACACTTGTTCTTTCATAATTTTCTTACTTTTTTTTTCTTTTTATCCTCTTTCGTTCAATCCATTCTGAACAGTTTTTCTCTTGTCTGTGTATTTCTTTGTCTGTTTCAGACTCGATGTTTTCTGTTCCCTCACACCCCTATTAGATTCTTTCCGCCCTCACCCTTCTTTTTTCAACTTACTTTACTACTTACAAAAACACACACAAAATCTCTCTCTTTCTCTCTCTCTGTCTCCCTCTCTCTCTCTCTCCCTCTCCCTCTCCCTCTCCCTCTCCCTCTCCCTCTCTCTCTCTCTCTCTCTCTCTCTCTCTCTCTCTCTCTCTCTCTCTCTCTCTCTCTCTCTCAAGTTGACATCTGTCTACCCGGTCAAACACCTTTTCCTGATCCACGAAGACGACACCTTTTCCTGATCCACGAAGATGACATTGAGGTCTTTGTCATGTGCAATGACAGTCTCACATAACTGTCTTAATGTAAAAATAGCATCAGGACAGCCCCTGCCTTTTCTGAAGCCAAACTGGGATTCAACGAGTTGAGTCTCTACAATTGGTCTCATTCTCATTTCCAGTATCTTGGCAAACATTTTACCCACATGGCAAGTACCCGTACTCAAAGTATGTCGTACTTTGAGCTGTTATGACTTGGAGATTGTGTAAATGCAGTTAATGAAGTGCCATTTTCTCAACTCCTATCGTCATAATAACTTATTATACTACTGTATCTTATCAGTCAGGGCAGTCCCAAGGTCAAATTATTTTTCCTATCTACTGAATAAGTGATGTCAGCACACAAGGCTTGTGATAACAGCTTCAAATTGTTGACTCAAATGAAGAGCATATTTAAAATATGTGTTTATCATTAAGAGGATGGAGAGGGGGGGGGGATTCTGGTTATCTTGCTATAGTGTGGATCCTTCAAATACGCAATAAAGTTTTAGGGAAAAAATTTCATGGCTATGAAAACAGAGGTCATATTGGATTCTGTTGATGTGTCTTAATATCTCATTTATTTTCAATGAAAATAGGTTGGGGGTTTTTGTTGTTGTTTTGTTGTGTTTTTTCATGCGTGCATGTTAAGACACAAAAGTTCTACAAACTTATCTGTTGAATTTTTTCCTAAACGAATTATAAACTTTTAATGAATTTTTATCTTGAGGTTGTATTCAAGGATGCAAAAATGTGGCGTCCAGACACCACTACCAAAAATCTATTCAATTTGTTATTTTAATTCAATAATTTTATAGTGTTACATTTTCTGTGCATTCTGTGAAAATTTCATGAAGATTTGATTAAAAATGGCGGAGTTATATTTTTTTAAATATAGAGAGAAATTTTTTGTGAGAAAATGGACAATAAAAGGGAAAAAGAAGAGGAACTTTAGGAGGATGGCTAAAATGCCTGTTAGGTGACAAAATAAAAGTGTACGGGGCTCTTGTGCGATGAAATAGTTGCAAGAGAGGCTGAAGAAGTCAGAAATGCCCACCTCTCAAAATCGATAATTTTGACCCCAATCGGAACTTTCTTAATTAAGTTGTGATTCTTCTGCTGTATCTGATGTGCACTTATGAAATATGGCCATTTTCTCACATACTCCTGTTAAAGAGAACTTCTGCAAACTGAGCTTGTGACATTTGTGCTTTGTAAAAATATTTTTGCAGATTCTTGTTTTGGCTCCTGTTCTCCTTCGCTGAAACAGACAGGATGGATTATGTTGAATGCCCTTATGACGAAACACATATAATTCACCCGCTACGCATGCCTGGACATCTTCTGAAGTGCAGAAAGGTTAGATTTACTCCCTAATGTTCTTACTTCCTTTGGCTTTAGAGTGGGACTGGTTGTTTGTTGTTATCAGTTCAAGCACCACTGAGCTTGTGCTTGTCTGCTTGATCCTGGGTTCTTGCATGTGTGCTTTATCATGATTCTGTGGATGTTCGGTTTTTCTGTTTGTGCAAGAATTGGAAGTTTTGGTCATGATGGAGTACAGTTTGTCAAACTTTTTTTCTTTTTCCTTGTCTTATTTTCCTTTTCAAGTGCTTAGTACCCATACCTATACTGCCTGGCCCTGGTTCGGATTTCTAACTGGGCATTCTTAAATTTGGATAATTTTGTTGAGTTTTCCACTTTCTCAACCCATTTGGCTCTGTCCTTTTGGAGATAGACATTCAATTCAGAGGCCCCACCTTTTAAATATTCTGTAAGTTTTAGTTGGGGCATAAAACCTGTGCATACAGATGTAAAAATAAACGCCTTTAGTCAAGCTATTTTTTCTTTGCCAGCTAAATGATCATTTCATCATTTGCTACTTCTCAAAGTTCTCACACAAGAAGAAAGCCACATTCAGTTGGTCACCAGTCACTACCTTAGAATTACAAAGTTCTATCTGACATTTTCAGCAGTTTAAGAATTGCTAAGACCATGAGGTCAGAAACCAAATGTTCTAGAACTGCGCCATGCCCGAGAAGTCCTTTGCTTAAATCCGAAGCGTGCTTGAGTGCGAAGTAGACATAATCCAGAGATTTTCAGGTAGAAAATTTCCAGTGCTATTTCCATTTGTTTGTAAGTAGGCCTATAGCGGTCCCGCAAAAGTCAGGATTAATGGATAACGAGGGTCAAAGGTGAAATTGCAGCCAGCCGCCCTTTCTCGTCTCCCTGATTCTCTTTGTATTTTTTAGTCTGTGTGTAACTAAAGTAACTTTGCCCTAGACTAGATTCTATGTCCACGCGCGCGGCTGTATGCATCTCTCTGCCTTCCTCTCCGCCCGTGTGAGTGTGTGTCTCCATCACTTGCATTCTCTGTGTTTCTCTTAACACACTCCACTGCTGTGTTCGAACTTCGAGGGGTCATCATAAAAGTATTGACTGTCTTGTAAATGAAGCGTGCTTGAAGCAGAAGTTACCGTGCTTAAAGGCGTGTAATTTATATAGCAAAAATTCGGTAAGAGCCGTTTAGCGTGCTTGAGTCCGAAACGTGCTATAAGCCGGCGTGCTTATAGCCGGCACGGACTGTAATAATAATGAGGATAGTGACTGAATTTATTTAGTGCATGCAGCATAGCCAAGGTCAACATCATACTCTATCCCCTTTACGACGTACAGTCGAACCTATGTAAGACGGCCACCCTTTGTCAAGGAGAAAATGGCCGTATAAGACAGGTGGCCGTCTTAGGCAGGACTGATCAAGAAGAAGAAAACAAACCATTCCTTTTTGAGAAAACAAACCCTCCCTTTCTGAGGTCCCAACCGAAGGTAGTTACATTGTTATTGTTGTTTTCGCTGGGTTTTCTTTTCTTTTGTTGCTGCTTTTGTGTACGGGTGACAATAAAACGACGCGAAATGTGTCAAACAAGGAGGACCAAGTGCTATGGTAAAACAAACACACGTACTACCAATCGGAGAACAAGCAACGCTTCTGTCTCAAGTTCATGCTGACGTCCATTGTTACTTTGTTACAGACTGGGTAAACAGTGACCACTCATCTCACTTGCGATAATTTGTGTATGGATTCTGGGCGGGGCTTATGGGTTATGAGGGATCACACGCTTCCCTCCCCAGCAGCTGAAAATTCATTTTGTTTCCTACTGGTCAACAGTGGGAGGGGCCTACGCAACATGATCAGTTGGAGGGACTACCTAACAACGATAGGTTTTTAAATTATGATGGCTCGTCCACAACGCCAGGGGCCAATGCTTGATTTATGATAAAGCGTAATGGAGTCACTAAGATGGCCGTCTATGACAGGTGTTATTGCTTTGTGTGATAGGGGCTGTGTGTTGAAATATGGTGGCCGCGGCCGCGTTGGACAGGTGCCCGTTTTACACAGTTAAATTATATAGAAAAAATGCAAGGGGGGAAATGGAAAGTGTCCGTTTGTACAGGTGACCGTCTTATAGAGGTGGCCGTCTGGGCAGGTTCGACTGTACTATCATTCCCCCAGCATACAGTGCACTTGAGCAGGAACAAACTGACAAGATGTTTCACTGTCGATAACCAGGGTACCCATTCCCAAAAATGAAGAGGTTCGGGGGTTAGAGCCTCAGCCTGGTCCTTTCAGAGATGGACTCTTAAATATACTTATAGCGTTGGTAGTTTACCATTTCACCATTTTTTTCCCCATTGAAGAGTGAAAAGTGATGTGCTTAGTCCTAAGTTGAATTTTCTTCCAGAATCACCCTAACATGGAGCTGGTCGTCTGTCCGTTCAACGCAGTGCACGAAGTGAGGAAAGAGGAGCTGCGGTACCACATGTTGCACTGCCCAAACAGGTCGCTGCTGGAGAGAGAAATATCTTTGAGTGAGTTTTGTCTGTCTGTCTGTCTAGCAGTGGTCTCTGTCTGTCTGTCTATCTAGCAGTAGTCTGTTCGTGCCTGTCTATCTGTCTAGCAATGATCTCTGTCTGTCTGTCTGTCTGTCTGCATGCCTGTCTGCCTCTTTGGCTTTCTACAGCTATCTGTTGTTGTTATCGATCCAGTACTACAGCTATCTAAACGTCATTGGGCCGTTCTATCTTTCTAGTTTCCTGTTTGTCTGTCCTTAAGGCTATCTGGCTGTAATTTAATAAGGTTTGTTTGGGTTTTTTTGGAGTGGGGTTCTGTCTTTCTTTCCAAAGTTATTAGTCTATCTTAGTTTTTATGTATTTGAAGTGAAAATGAGGCTTCCCTTTCTTTCCAGTTTCTAAAGGTTGGCAGTTCTACATGTATTATTAATGACTAAAGTAAAATGTGTCGCAACAGTAGAATCAGGCACTCATCAATTTTTGGGTATATTGAGTTATTGGTAACATCTTAAAGTTTGTTCATTTGTCTTGCTTTTGATGGGGGAAAATATCCATCTAACTTGAATAGAAGTTGAGATATTTGCGATTGAAGGAGATGCGGGTCACTTGGTTTCAGAGGTAAAATTAGCCCAAAAAAATTGCTGCCAAAGTTCAGTGACTTCCAAAGTTTGAGTCCTTGGAAACTGAAAATTCACTTTTTTTGTGTGTGCCTTTAATCAACATTTTTCAGTAAAATCCACTTAGAAATGTGTTTTGTAAATGGACATAAAGTAGAGGTGTTGATCCAAATAACAAAAATTTGATAAAAATTTGCCAAGCTAGCGGGATAATGAAGGTTTGTTCGATTTATTTATTTTGACTAGCGCTCGTTTTTAATCATGATGTCTCTCAAATATATTGTTCAAGACATGTAGCTGATCTAAACAGTAAGAAGGGAGTTGCTTCCACTTTTTTGTTGTTTTTCATCAGCTGTGCTAAACACCGAAGAAATTTTCTGATCCTATGAAGTTCAGTGTGTCAGGATTCTACTGTATGTATTCATTTCCCATTTTACATTTAAATCCCCTTTTGTGCAGAGATGTGTTGTTTCTCTCTCTGCTACTGGCTGGCTGTCCTTAAAGTTAAAGTTGTGGAACTGTTCAAAGGTCTGTGGAGCGGGTGGTTGGTGGGTGCTCTGTTGTGGTTTGCTCCTTCTCTCCTATCAAAACATTTATCGTCCTTATATCTCTCATCCTCTTTGTTTTGTGTGTGTATGTTACTCTTTTGTAACATTTGTAATCTTTGGCACTTATTATGTTGCAAGAGCTGTAAAACTCTTACTGAAAAGAAGTAGGTCTGTGGGGTTTGCTTGATTTAATAAAACTCTATTGATGTGGAAATCGTAGGTGTGGAGAGCCAGTTTTTAATAGTTCGTGTAAATGTGTATTGTTTTATGGTTCAGATGTTCTGCATGGCGTTGCACAAGACAAGAAAGTGGCCCCTCTGAAAGGGTGCACAGATCTGCCGAGCTTCCATTCGCGGAGACCTGACGAGGACATGGTGGATGATGAGTGGGATCAGGGTAAGAGAACTTTTTGCTGCTGCTTCTTCTTTTTCTTCTTGTTCTTGTTGTTGGTTGTTGTTTTTCTTGTTGTTGTTCTTCTTCTTCTTCTTCTTTTTCTTCTTCTTGTGGGTGGTTGGCGGGTGCTCTGGTGTGGTTGGCTTCTTCTTTCCTATCAAACATCTGTCGTCCTTATCTCCCCTTCTTCTTTTTTATGTTTGTTACTCTTTTGTAGCTCCTCTAATCTTCTGCCGCTCATGTGACCATATGCAGTTGCGAGCGCCGTAAAACCTCTACTAAAACTTCTTCTTCATCCTCTTCTTCAATTTATCCTTTCCTCCTCCTCCTTTTCCTCCTGCCACCATTTCCTCCCCTTCCTCCTATAGATTAAGAAAAAAGAGGCCCCTGTCAAATGAGAAATCCTGTCTGTTTTTGTGACCTTTCCTTTCAGTTCTGGGTATCTTTGAGTATCCCAGGGATAGAGCCAAAGCTATTAAAGATTGTCCTTTTTTTTCTGCTGGAAAATCGTAAAATTTATCATCATGCTTTCGTGAAGTCAGCTATGGAACTATGATATTTTTCAGAAATAGAACACTCGAGATTCTCCCTTTTTTCCCGGCCAGAGCCTGAACAGAGGTGAGTATTTGTTTCTCTTTTCTCTGAGTATTTGTCCGGTTTCTCTTATCTCTGAGTACAGTAGTCTCCGCCTAAACGCATGCCGTACAAAGGCACGCTCCGCTCAAAAGCACATTTTCGTCATATGACAGGTTTTTTACTATATAATTGAGAGGTATAAATGCACTGTCACTTCCTCTAAACGCACGCTTAAATGCGCGAAACTCGCCGACAGGCAAAGCTTGACAAGAGGAAATGTTTGCTACAACCTGCACAGCTTGTATAACTCACTTGCGACTGGGCCCTTTCACCAGTCACAAGCGTTGAAGACTGGCGTTTTTGGGGGTATTTCAATAAATCACCACAACTCTCAGAATTACCCTATTGTAATCATTTTTTGACACAGTAAAGTAACATTCAAGCTTAATTTGATACAAAAAAACTAAAGTTGTCTAAGTCTAATACTTTAATTTGTATGATTTTTTAAAAATTGGCATGAATTTGATTTTCCGAAAAATTTCCAGAGACGTGACAAGTAGAATGAAATTCACTGCAACAACAAAAATAAAAGTTCAAAGTGTTCTGGTTTGATTTGTATACATGTGCGAGTGTTTGGTGAAAATATAAAAGCTGGTCTGTGCATTGATTCAGACCCATACACTGAATTACATGAGACAGATGTACGGCACGACGTTGTGATTTCGTTGCGCGAAAAACAACACCGGTACTAGTGCTAGATCTAGCCCTAGAACTACGACTCGGGCCGTGTTCGGGTACATATCCAGGATCCTAACTATTAAACTCATCATATTCTGAGACACTAGAACTAGTAAAACGCACAGAAGTATAGAAAACGGCGAAATTATGTGATTCTTGTTCATGCGACTTCTTCGACCGTTACTACGACACGACTGTCAGATTACTATGAGCTGTATAGAAAAAAACAAAGCGCGAGTTCCGGTCTGTTCAACCCCAGTTGGGGTCACTGTCCTTCACCTTCAATAACTTAAAAACTACCGGCCCCAGAGATACGAAACGAAGTCTAAGTAGCTCAGGCTTGGCCAAACAAGGGTACGAGGCGGGTCTCGCGATCCGTGCGTGATTTGTAGAGCGAAAAAAAATTTCCAAAGTTGGTCACGCAGGGCTTGTGAGACCCGTCGCGGGCGCCGCGGCGGGGGTCACGCAACTGTTGTGTGACCCGTCTGAAGTGAGATAAGACAAGTCTAGACAACAGGATATTTGGTGAGACTGCCCCTCATGCCGTACAAAGAGAGTACTGGGCTGCGTTTTCACACCTGATAACTTTCCAGTCACCTGTCTTTTGATTGATTCGCTCGAAATGCGTCTTTGAGAGAATATTTCTGACTGATGTTTGAGTGACTGCATACGTAATGTTATTGTTAAGTTAAGCCTATGATGCACAGCACGTTAAGATGCTCTAGAACACTAGATAAGCCTGTATAGGATTAAAGATTTGTCAAGTAATCAGCTGATCTCGAAGAAATTATAACGTACTTATTCAACAAATCACAAGAGAAAAGTTTCTCGGAATATCTGATTCTTATGTCATCCATTCAATTGCCGAGTTGCAACAGATCATGACAGGTAGTCGGGGTGGTACCAACCTCGAAGGGAGGTCACTAAGATATCAAGGAAATAAGATGATTGCGTCTCTTCCTCTGTTTGCACAGGTTTATGTAAACAAGGTACGCACAAAGTGAACGCTTGCTCGCGATAAAAGCGAGCGCGTTTGGACAAGCGCTTGAAATGTTGTTTAAAATTAGCTTGCCATGCACAAGAAGCATGCTCGCTTTATCACGCCTGAGATTTCAAGCGACGCTTGGAAAGCGTAAAGAATCACGCTTGCAAGCGTGTACCTGGTGCCGCCACCCCCTCCCCCATCCCACTGTTGTCTGGTCACGACTTGGGTAATGCAGTGTGCATTTTCTCTGTGTCGGTGACAATCAGACCGAAGTTGATGTCGAGTCTTTGATAACAGCCGTGTTTAAAAATACTTGCAATTTGGGACTTAAGAAGGAAAGACTACGCAAACCGCAATGTTGTGAAACGTGCTTGGAAAGATATTAGCGTAGAACTGCCAGTTGCACCAATTCTTGGTTATCTTTGGTTCAATTTTTTAATAAGATATAATTCGCTCATTCTCAGGTAGGACTGAAAATGTGAAGGGCTCCTTTTAAGTACAGGAAACAAGTGGTGATGTTCGCCTTCCACTCGTCTCCTTAAATCCTGCCATGGCGTCAAATGCCCAAGTTCTGACCAGTCGCAAGCGCTATTTGCAATCTTTCTATGTGTACACCTCAACGCCAAGCAAGCGCTTTCTTCACAAACGTTCGCTTTATCGCGAGCAAACGTTCTTTTTGTGTACATTTAAGGGGCCCTCCCGAGCATCGTGCATTTAGGCGCTCTTATCTCTTTACTACAGTCTCTCTTTCGGCTCCTTTAGCTCTGTATGCAAGAAGTTTTTGCCACAGAAAGTCTCCCTCCTCTCATCATCTTCTGTGAAACTAATCTTGTGCATGTTTACCCTTATCTCGTCTGTGGACTTTTTTTTTTTTCGCCTGTCTCTTCTCCTTTAACCTACCATCTTACTCCTTAATGTAAGAATGAAAATCTCTTGTATGATTGATAATGAATTATGAAAAGCATGACTTTAAAAACATTTTCTCCTTTTTTTTTTATCTTCAAATTTTCAAATGTTAAATTTGTAGTTTAAGGACATGCTGATGGCTGATGTGTATTGTCATGCAACGCTATGCTGCAGATCATCTTGGGTTTGAATCCTCATTTTGGCTTTCTTGAACTTGAGTTGTTTGGGAAAATTTCAAAGCTCTTCGCCCACTTGATGCACATTTAGGGGTATCATACTTATGCTGTATCTTGCCAAGAGGTTGTGCAAGTCTTTATCAAATCAAAAATTAAACCAGTTCACGTTTTTTAAAAATCTTCTATTAATTTTATCATTTGTGTCATGACATGGTGGAATCAAGGGCTCGTCAATTTTTGGGCCTGTGGAGTTATTGGCATCATCTTAAAGTTTGTTTATTTGTCTTGCCTTCTATGAAAAATATTTCCATCTATTCTCAGTAGAAGTCGAAATATTTATGATTGAAGGGGGTGATGGTCGCCTGGTTACAGGAGTAAAATAAGCTTTAAAAAAATGGCCGCCAAAATTTGGTGACTTCCAAAGCTTGAGTCCCTGGACATTCTTTGGTGCTTTTAATGAATGTTTTTCAGTAAAATCCACGCTGAGATGTGTTTTTAAATGGACCTTAAAGGTGTTGAGTCCCTCCAAAAAATTATAAAAATTGCCAAATGGGCAGAAACTTCAATTTCATTATTTTGAGGGGCATCTGATTTCACCACGATGCCTCAAATTTTTAAAATCGCCTTTTAAATGTACTTTTCAGTGTCAGTGGACAGAGGTTCAGTTCAAGAAGACGTGTGGAAGCAGGAGCAGAACTACGTCAACCCACCACCCTTGGTCAAGCTGCTCGGCTGTCACAACTTCCGTCAGAGGAGAAATCTGAGGTTGCCACGGAAACGCCACAACACCGTCTTCAGCAAGCATTTTTTCACAGTTCGCTGGTCTTGGGCCGAGGGAGAGCAAGAACTACATGTGGGTAGTTGTAGTAGCTGGGTTGTCGAAAATTTATTATTGTTTTCTTTTCACCCCCTGTGACGTTTTGTGCAACGTTAACACATTACACCCAGACTCGCCCGGAACCGCCCGCACCGACCAAGCGTCTTTTGAAACGAAGTCTAGCCTTGACGTGACTCTGGGGCCGAGATTTTGATTTGCATAATTATTGCAAAAGTTTCTTCTTTCGTTTTTATACCGAATCGAAATTTTTTGGGCCAGTAGTTTTAGTATTAGAACCGAACGAAGTGCGATGGTGTTACCGACACTTTGAAAGTGTCTCGACTTGTTGAAAAGCAACACAATTGAGTTCGAAAAAGGAAATAGCGATGGATTTGAGCAAAAACGAGCATATGACAAATCAGATGACTCAGATTTTGATGAAAACGTTGTAGCAAGAGTTTGGGGCGGTTGAGATTGATCAGACGTAGAAAATCTAGAATTTAGATCTAGGGCCTGACCACGAGGCTGAAAGTGAGAGTGACGGGTCGGACACCCGGATTGAACTAAAGTTAGAACATTTCCAACAGTTTTGCACATACATAAAGTAATATTTTTCTGAAATTACATTCAATTTTCGTTTTAACTTTTATTTTTTCCGGATTTTTGGAATTTGTTTGGTATTTTTAAAATGTGTTTTATAAAGGCTTGTATATTCACAGGGGGTGGGTTCTTTCCCCTTGCTTAGGATCTAACAATGGACTTCCCGTCCAGACCCTTAGGGTGTAATGTGTTAAGACTCTTTACCTTTGCAACAGAGGACATGAGTTCAGTTCCTGTTAGAGAAGAACATTTTACGTTTTATTGTACTTCAGTCTCTTTGCAGGGATGTCCCTCACAGCCAAGGTTTTCCCAAATAGTTGATGTTGTCCACCCCTTAACTTGCTCGTCTCAAATTCAAATTACTCGTGGGGTGCTACAGATAGAGTTTAGGAGAGCCTGGGTTGCGTTAAGTAGGCTTCGGTCACAACCCGGGCAAAATTCAAAATTGATTCCTTCCAAACTAAAATTCCTTAGTCCCGCACACTCATAAGACCTTATGCTGGTGCGAGAATCGTAAAACAGGTAAAGGCATAGCAGGATTGTTGTAGCGACTTTTTCACTGATTCCAGTCTGCACTACAGGTTTGATTGTAGTAACTTTTTCACTGATCCCCCGCCCCCCCCAGTACCGAGCCCAGACTCTGCTTCCCGACCTGGTGCGGCTCCGGCCTCTTGCGGGACATCCTCTCCGATCAACTCCCTGATGAGGTTCCCGTCAACGTTTGAGCTCTCTGCGTACCCTACCCTAGCCCGTGGCAGGTGAGTCGACTAACTCCTCTCTCTTGCCTTTTTTTTAATATCCCTCCACAAGCTTCGGTCAACATCATCAGCAGTTATAGTAGGTAACTTCTTCTGGAAGCTACTGATAAGTCCTACTTCTTTCCTCTCCTTTTGTCTTTTTGGTGTGCTATCTGTTTTGTTTTTCTTAGTGCTTAACCACTGTATATTGTAGTGTTGGTAGCTTAGTGGTTAGGCTCTCAGACTCTCAACCGTGAGGTGGTGGGTTCAAATCCCATTAGGGACCCAACGTTGTGTCCTTGGGAAAGGCACTTTACACGAATTGTCCTCATTTCACCCAGGTGGGAAAGGGTACCCAGCTATAGACAGTGAAAGATCTTGTCAGTTTGTTAATGTTTGAGCGCTTAATCAGCTGCTTGCACTGTATGCTTCCCGGGAAGCCGAGAATGTTTCTGAGAGTTCTGTGGTCTGCTGGGATAATAATATAGTGTAAAGCGCATAGGGCTTGCTGTTGAGCGAGGATGTGCACTCTATACATATGCTATTTGTTATTATTATTATTATTAGGTGTTATTTCTATTGGGGCACAAGGAATGGTGAGTGTGTTATGGGAATAAGTTTGTTTGTCATCATCATCATCATCATCATCATCTGCGCCTCTCACCCTGGTATTGATTTGTAGGCCACAAAGAAAGGCTCTCCCCACTTGTCTCTATTCTAGGCGATCTTCTCTACCTCCAGCCAGCTGTGGCCCATATGAGTCTGTTTGTACTGTTGTCAAAATTCAATTTTCATTCTGATGAGAGCCCTTTTATTGTGGAGGGTTTTTTTTATTGAAGACGATCAACTCTATAATAACTACTTAATTTTCACTTCCCCTTTTGTTTTTTGTTTGTTTGTTTTTTTCTTATTATGGTGACACTGTTCAATAGGACCACCTGTCTAAGATGACAGCTTTTTCACCTCAGCAATGGGCAGTTATCTCGCACAGGCTCCACTGTAATAATTCCTCTTCAAAGACTTCTGTCCTTTGCATCTTTCTACAGCTGTTGGCAAGTTTCTCCCAGTTTCTAGATCATGTCTGCCTTCACTTTGTTCTGCAGTATTGGTCTTGGTCTTCCTCTGTTTGTTTTGTCCCTAGGGATTCTGTCTATTCATAATTTTACTCAGTGTGCAAATTGCGCAGGTTAAGAAAGATCCCTTGGTGGTAAAAAATCAATATGAGTAGGCTTTGGCCGCCACCCTGGCAAAATTCAAAATTTCCTACCGAATGAAAATGTATAATGTGTCTTGCGCCCTCATATGACTTTATGCAGTTGCGAGCACTGTAAAACACTTACCAAAAAAGAAATAGTTTTACAGTTCTTTTTTTTTTTTGTCCGCAGGGCCATGCTGTTTCAGAAGGAGTCGTCTTCCTAAAAGCACCAGTTGTGCAAGGAATGACAATGTGTTTTGGGAAAAGGTCACAGAAAAGGCAGCATCACATGGGATGGGGAAGTGTGTGTGGGGGGGGTGAGGGTGGGGGGGGGGAGGCGAGTCTCACAACAATTTGTGATCAGCTGTATCTTGAACAGTTCTGTGAGGCAATTAGTCACAGCTTATTTTTATTATAATAGTCATCAACCTAATGGCATCAACATAATACATGGTCATTTAAACTGTCCCCGTGGTTTTATGCTCCCCGCATAATTTAGCAAAATTTGATCATTTTTTGCTTGATTTCTGATGATTATCCTTTATCATTCTTTGTTAAAATTAACAGAATCGTGTAGTTTCACATTTTTTAGCTCAGTTTGGCATATATTCAAAATATTTCTTGCATAAAATGACCAGGGACAGTTTAAAATAGATTTCATTTTCAGAGATGCCTCTTTTCTTGCAATTACAGTAATTGTTTCACACTTGAGAAATTGCCATTGATGCGTGTTTTAAAAAAAAGTTTTACGTAGTATTAATTACTGTTTTACATGTAAGTGAAACTGCTCTCTTTGACTTAACAGCAAAATATTCAGACAATTCTCAAAGGACCTGATGGCATCCCCGCATTTTGTGTCCAAGAATAATGAATGGTAGCACTGAGACTGTTCTCTGCTTCTATTAAACAAACCTGCCAAGTATTGCGATAAAATTACCCCACTGAAGAATCCTGATGTGATTTCCATAAGTTCCTTTTTTAAAAATTGTATTCCTGTCAGATAGTACCTCATTTATCTTGAATTGTGTCTCTTGAAAATACAATTTATTTTTGTTTGCAATAGTTTCCCAACTTGTTGTAAATAATGTGGAAATTCACAATGTTTATTTGCATCTGTCTGTGTGTATTTGTACTGGTTTATTTTCCACTGTCAGTTCTAGAGGGGCTGATTTTATTTTCTCCCAAACCTCTATTTTTCGGGAGGGGTTTGAGGAAAACTATTTTGGTCATAGAGTGTTTGGAAGGTCTGTATCAAAGGTTTTTGATGATTTTAGTCTCGTTCTTGGTTGCTCTTTATGGAAGTCTTTAAGGTAATCTATGTTAAGTGGAACAAACTGAACTTAGATTGTGACAGTTATTTTTGTATGTTTGTTTTAATTAATTATTTCATATGAAATATCTTTTGATGAATCTGGACAGATTTACTTACTTCAATGACACTCATACTATACTATGTTTTGTTTAAGGAATGGATATTTTCAGTATTTTCCCTGAATTTTGGAGCTTTTCTACTTCCATAGTATAGAAATAGTCCATTCATTTCCTTGTGTAATGTATGTAATTAATATACAGTCGACTTCGGATGAGTTGATGTCATCGGGGGAGGGGATAAAGGATCAACTCATTTGGAGTTCAACTTAACAGTTTGGATCTCTGTAAATAAGAGTTGCCGGAACCCAAGAAAAAGATCAACTTAACCAAAGATCAACATGAGCGGAGTCGACTGTACTTTAATTATGTGTGTATTGTGATGTTTTAATCGCTTTATGTTTTGCTGAGATGGGAGATTACTTTTTGCCCTGTATTGTTGCTGCCTCTCGATTCTGACGAATCAGGATGGGGGATGTAACTGTACATAGTACTTCTCAGCTACCACATCAGTATCAAGACATTTGCTGGGATTTTAAATATTTTATTGATATTTAATTAAAGTCTTTCAAGAAATAAAGCTATCCTTTTGAAATTCTTCAAGCAAATGTTTGAATACATGTGCTATACTTTTTTCAAAAGTTGCACCAAATTTGCATCTTGTGCCTTGTGTTTGATTTTTGTCATTGTTTTTGTTTGGTGGGTTTTTTGTTTTTTGTTTGGGGGGTTTTGGGGTTTGTTTTGGTTTTTGTTCAACTAGGCTACGGAGACCCGGGAAATTATTTGCAATGTGCATGCACGATTCACCGGTTCACACGGGTGCCGGGTTCATCAGCATAACTAAACCTTTACTCTGACTTGTGTCCATTTTATTTGAATGTTTTCTTGGTGACCTAATACTACAACAGTATACTGCAGATTTTGTGAGATGATCAGTTTTATTAATGACCAAATTGTTGGCTTTAAGTTTAAGAAAATTAATAAAATGTACGTTTATAGTGCAGGCCTTAGTGAAAGACAATAGATGACATGGCCACTGTTTCTTACGTTCATTTTGAACCTTCTTAGACAAAGGTCCTGGAATCAAATCCTGCCAGAGGTGAATTTGACTTGTTTTTTCTGATACTGTCTAATTTGTGCCCAGTGGGGCGTAAAATGTGAAAACAAACAATTTTGATTCTTCACTGACGCTCTTGATGCTTAAAAAATGCCTCAAAAGTTGTCTAGGTAGGTCCTAGCGGAACCTGAGGCTATATAAACAATAGAGCAAAGCCACCCAAGAAAGATTATTTGCATTAGATTCGAGGGTTTAAGGGGCTAAAACAGTGGGTTATCTATTTATATTGTGTATTGGCCCTGTAGCTCATTTGTTTCCAAAAGATACCTTTTTCTACACTTCTATGCAAATTTTGAAAGTAAGATACTTTAGTCCAACATATCTCTGTACTAAAAAAGGGGGCATAAAAAAGAGCATTTTAGAAATTTTGATGCTGGAACCTTTGAATATGGTTTATTTAAATACATAATATTATACAGTCCAACTGGGGTCCAGGTCTCCCTTGACAAACTGTCCTGACACCAGGATTCTGGTATCCCTAACTCTAACCTCTTCCTATAATAAAAAAGCTGAAAAAAGACACCCCTGAAACTTGATTTTTTTATTTTTATTTGAGACATTTTGATAGTTCTTACAATGTATTAAGTAAGTGATATTTCATTGCCAGCACAATTTTTAGTCTTTGAAACAGACATATCCAAAATGATCTGATAATTTACATTCACATAATAAGCATAATTTTGGTGAGTATTTTTATGGATTTTTTTTTTTTCATTAGAACAAATTTGTGAAGTGTGCTGACAAAATGAGTTACTTCTCAGATGTTAGACCGATGGAAATAGAAACATGAAATTTACAGGTTGAAGTTTTATAATTTATCAGTATGAAATGACAAAAGACATGTTAAACTTGAAGAGAATGGCATTGGTTTAGAGTCTACAAATATGACCCTTGTGTTGATTTTTGGCTGACATCTCCATTCATGGATTGCGAGAAGTAACTCATTTTGTTAGCACGCCTCACATTTAACAGATTTATGAAATGTGACACATGACATATAATGATAGTTTACTTTGAAAGTGTAATTTTGATGAGTAATTCTCTAAGATTGAGCTACATGCTAGTAGAAACATGATCTGAAGAATTGATTATCTTATAGGAGGGGGGAGCAGCCACCACAATTTCAGAGTGAAAATGAGTACAGAAATATTCCAGTGCATTTTATTTTTAATCTCTCTCTCTCTCTCTCTCTCTCTCTCTCTCTCTCTCTCTCTCTCTCTCTCTCTCTCTCTCTCTCTCTCTCTCTCTCTCTCTCTCTCTCTCTCTCTCTCTCTCTCCTCTCCTCTCCTCTCCTCTCTCCCCCTCCTCGCTCTCTCTCTCATATAGGAACACACACTCACTCTTTCTCATGTACTCACCCATATTTCTTTACATACATAACATACATACATACATACATACATACATACATACATACATACATACATACATACATAACATACATACATACATACATACATACATACATACATAACATACATACATACATACATACATAACATACATACATACATACATACATAACATACATACATACATACATAGTAGTATACATAACATACATACATACATACATACATACATAACATACATACATACATACATACATAACGTACATACATACATACATACATACATACATAACATACATACATACATACATACATAACATACATACATACATACATAACATACATACATACATACATACATAACATACATACATACATACATAACATACATAGTAATATACATAACATACATACATACATAATATATACGTGTATACATACATAAATACATATTTATCGACGTATTGGAACTGCAAAATGATACCTCTCTGCCACAAGCGGACTGTCGTTGTTCAGAAATATCTTCCTCTGAGTCTGAGGAAGCAGCAGTAAATCGCCTTAATAATACATACAATTATAGAAGTAGAAGTAATAGGGAAGAGTAGTCAAGTCTAGGGAAAGGAGAAACAATTTGACAGAACAGGACAGAACCATTTGCAATGCTGCGCTAATGAAGCAAAGGAATAAGCAGCAGCGAAGGGACCATAAACGAATGCATGTACTGGAATACATACATGTTTTTTATATTATGTATAGATTATCAGGAGACAAAAAATGGATGTCCTTTGGCGAATCGGTGGATTTGAAGAGGCACTATTGTATATTACAAGTATATATTAGGTGTTGGAGCGCGCGTGTGTGTGTGTAAACATTTTTGTGGTGTACCGTGTCTCATAAGAACAGACTAAGTAGGCAAGATTTAATCGATATACATGTAGTTTTGGTTTGGTTTGGGTTTGGATTTTTTTTTTTGGGGGGGGGGGGGTGATACCAGTTTTTGCTCTTATTCCAATTTAGGCCTTAATTTGTCAAAGCTGAATGTTTGATTTCTTTTCAAGGCAAGAAGTTCATGTTTTGACTTTTGAGTAAAGTTCTAAGGTTATAAAAATGCTCAGTGGGTGGTTGGCGGGTGCTCTGGTGTGGTTTGCTTCCTCTTTCCTATCAAACATCTTTCGTCCTTATCTCCCCTTCTTCTTTTTTTTGTTTTTTGTTTGTTTGTTTGTTACTCTCTAGTAACACCTCTAATCTTCTGGCGCGCACATTATTATGACCTTATGCAGTTGCAAGCTCCGTAAAACCTCTTCTAAAACTAAAAAAGAAAGGCTCATGATGGGGTACCAATCATTCTCTTGTGGACTGGATATAAAATAATAATTGTTCTGTGGGCCGGGTGCAGGTCGTCTCAAGTTTGTCGCCTGTAGTCTACTGTAGTGGCAACTTTATTCAAATGAATGTTGTCTCAGTAGAATAATCCTTGAAACTGAAATCTTCCTGCTCGGACTCAGAATCGTCACTTTGTTCTGTCTCTGCGTTTGTCGTCTCCTCCTTGGGACTGCTTTGAGGGGATTCCGTCCCGACAGTTGGTAGGTCTTTCTTGACGTCAGCATTATTGTCGTAGATAGCACTCGGATCTTCGTCGTGTTCCTCCGAGCCTTTGTCTGTGCTTGCTACTGCTACAGAAGGAGTGTTTTGTGTCTCGTCGTCGTCATCACTATCGGCACATTTCTCCAACACGAAGTAGTCCGAGCCTCCGACAAGTGATTCTGCGTTCTCCTCTCTGATCTCTCGTGAGACTTCTGGTCTGAGATTCGGGACTTCTTGGCTGACGTCATAATGTATATTTTCGTGAACGTCTTTTACCTCTAAACTTTCACGAACCGCACTTTCCTTACTATCGCCACCTCTCTCCAACTCGAAGTAAAGATGTCCGTCCGGATGATGCACATCTTCGTATACATTTTCATTGTTTCCTTCGTTCGTTGCTGTATCTTCAGCCGTAGATTTTGTAATCAAATCTGTATTGCTTTCATCTTTTAAATCGACATATAAGTCATCTTGTTGCGTTGTTGCGAGTGAGTATTCGTTGGGAATGCTTTCATGAGTTTTCCATCTTTCAACGACCTTTGCGTTTCCAGCAGTTCCATCTGAGTCTGAGACATCGTTTGCCAGAGTGTAGTCATCGTTGCAATCCCGGACTTGTTGTGGCTGAGGTTGAGAGTCCACATCTTTGAATGTTCCGACATTGTCGATGTATACGCTGAAATGTGATTTTCCCAACTCTTGTTCCGTGTCCTGTGCTCTTTCCCTAACCACTGCTGCGTCGCCACTACTAGGTGTCTGGAGGGCATCTTCCTGTTCAAAATTAAACCCAGCCATGTCGAGATTATGGACAACGGGTGGTGGTACGTTGCTTGGGGCTTTATTCTTCTTGCAAATCTTCCCGTTAATTCGGAGAAGCCACACTATGAAAAGAATCAAGATGATGATGAAGAGGATGGATCCGCCGATGAGAATGCCGATAGCGAGTGGGGACAGCTCGGAATCATCATCAGTGGACGCTTGGGAGTTGCTTGCCAGAAGTCTCCGCAAGGGTGTCTTCAACCTTGAAGAGTCCATTTTCTGGTATGCCTACAGGTCAACGTGTTATCTCCTTGGAGAAAATCTGGATGGCGAATACAAAAAAGAGAGAGATAGAATCAATATTATTGATGAATGATTAGCGATATTCTTAACCCCCCCCCCCCCAAAAAAAAAACAAACCAAAAAAAACCCAATAACGAAACAAAATAAATATTACATACTGGAACATAAATTCTAAAGAATGTGAATTAATATTTGCATTGTTAAATATAAAGTAAATCTCTCGTCAAATACAAGCATAATTAAATAAGCGTATACAGTATAACACGGACAGGTCGAACACAGAAGGCTCGAGATCATGCATCCGTCGAACTGTGCCTTCGTTCCAATTGTTTGTTTGTTGTTGAAGGGGTGGGGGGGGGGTCTTTATCTTTGTAAGATATCCCTTGAACTACCGAGGCCGGTCCCAACGAATTCGAGCTGTCCGTGTTAAACTGTACTTTGGTCAGAAGCAAAATGAGTGCCTGAAATGTTGAGAGTACATCCTACAAGTTGGGTGCGTTATACGCCAATACTCAAACTGACAATGTATCTGGAAAGGACAATGCAAATATAGCATGAACATATTTGTTCTTTTATACTGTATTATTCCCCACCGCAATAAAAATGGATGTCAAACACGGGTCATCGATTGTAAGCAAGACATGAAAATCTTTCGAAGCGAAATCTTCAAAGTTGTAGAAGAACTTGTAGAATACCACGGAGACGGAAAATAAAGGAAAATACATGTACACGTAGTACTAAACGGAACAGGTAGTCAATAACGCCAACATTCCCCCAGACCAAACTGAAACTGAACTACTTTCGATACGGTGAATCAAAAGCAATTATTCACGTGACAAACATATTCTGGGAACAAAGCTAAAAAAGTTAGGGAGGAGGATGAGACGCGCACGGGTGGAGGGGTAGGGGGTGGGATCCCGACAAAAGATGGGAACAGCACATAGAAACTTGGCTTGGAACCGAAACAACTCTGGCAAGCAGAAGGGCAGGGGATCAAGTGTTTTATTGGACAAAGGTCCGACAAGCATCGTCCTTCAACCGGGTTCTGAAAAGGCTAAGAAGAAGAAGAAAGTTTGTAAAATGTACTGGTACATGAAGTGTTACATATTGCGCTCATGTCAACAGTTCAGTTCAAGAAACCTGTATGCCACATTCGTCTAAAATCGACTTTTTTTTAGCTTTCGCTTAGCTGCCGATCTTTCTTCTTCATCTTCACGTACTATATCTTTTCGATTGGAGGATCGAACTCTAAATAATTTTTACTTGACCATAAAGGAGTAAAGGTAGAAAGCTGAAATTTGGGATGAAAGTGAAAGCCAACAATCATCTTCCTAGAATGCGTGTAAATTTTTGGGGAAATTCTGATTACTGATTTTAACACCAGCGCATTGTAAAAGAATAGGGGTATGTTGTTCTCCAAATTCAACATTAAAATTGAGAAAATTGAACACATGGGCAGTAATGAAGTTTTTGTATTTGCAAGGCAAGCAACTACTGTGCTGGGATAAAATTTTGGTGTAAAAAATTCAATACGGATTCATGGACATTGAAGATGACCATCGTGATGGTCGCCCAGTGACAGTAACAACAGAAGAGAATGTGCTGAAAATCAAGAAACTTGTGTTGTTTGCTAAGCGGGTGACAGTCGAAAGTTTGGGCAAAGAAATTGGGTTCAGCATTGGATCAGTCGAACGAATCTTAAATGAACATTTGAATATGACCAAGGTTTCTGCGAGATGGGTCCCACGTTTGATGACACCTCCTCAAAGAAGGCAGCGTGTGGATTGTTGTGAAGAATTGCTTGATCTGTGTGAAAAGGACGAAACTATTTTTTTTCAAAAGACTTGTAACCATGGATAAGACTTGGGCCCACCACTACGAGCTGGAGTCAAAATCTGCATCAATGAAGTGGAAATCGCCCTTGTCTCCAACACCAAAGAAGGCGAAGGAGCAGCCATTAAACGGAAAAGTGATGCTATCAAGAAGGAGTGATTATGATAGACTATCTTGAAAATGGACATGCGATCACCAGAGACCATTATTCTATCCAGCTAAAAAAAAAATAACGAGAGACTATTACAGAAAAACGTTGAGGAAAGAGACGAAAAGTCGGAAAAGGAGTTTTGCTGCTTCACGACAACGCGCCAGCACACACTCCAAGAAAAGCTGCCGAAACTGCGCGAGAAAGTGGCTGTGAAATTTTGCCACATCCACCCTATTCTCCAGATTTAACCCCGTATGACTTTTTTTTGGTTCTCCAAACTGAAAAAGGATTTAAAAGGAAGGCATTTTGAAAGTGGTGATGAGGTCAAAGAATGGTAAAGGGCTGGGGTTTTGTTTTGTTTTGTTTTGTTTTGTTTTGTTTGTTTTTTTTATTACACAGAGACGGTCATCTATTCTCAAGGTCTTTTCAAGATCATACACCTATGGAAAAAATGTACAACTGTGGGAGGCGACTATATACATGTAGAGAAAGATTACGGCTAGTACCAAATTCCAATTTTCTTCCCTTATTCCTTCGATCATGGTCTGGTTAAAAAAAAAAAAACTTTTGGTATGCCCCTCGTATGTGTTTCTTGAACTGAAACGTTGATGTACTAGCAAGTACTAACCGAGCAGAGACCGTACGATGATAGTATTTATAGTCATTGGAAAGGAGACCAGTGTGTAGTTTTGGAAAAGAAAAGAGAAACTGTGGAAATGGGCGTGCATGATAAATATCATAGGGTCAATCTGTGACGAAAAAACAAAACAAATCAAAAACTGTTGTTAACTGCCTACACAAAATGAGTGACATATATCAAAATCAAAGGTTATCTTGCAAGAGGCTTTGTTTTTCGGAAGTTAGACACCTAGGTTTAACACCATCAAACACGATGAGTGCCTGTGCTGATGCGGTAGGCGATTCGCTGTCACACGCAGGAGACAAAAGTTCGATTCTCATGTGGGGAGAACATTAATTTTAATGAGTATCTCGGTCTTTCTGCTGGCGGTTTTTCTGCTGGGATGTTGTAGATCTATCCCTCTCTGCCCCGGTTGACCCTGGTGGGCAGGGTCGGAAGCCTGCCTCCTGAAATCAATAATCTAAATTGTGTCAATGGGTGCGTAAAAGCACATAGATCTACATTAAAATTATAACAAAAGAAAAAAAATACTCTCCAAAAAACACCCCCCTCCAAAAAAAAACACAAAAAAAACAACAACAACAACCAAACAACCCCGCCATCAAACGGACAGCGAGTGTAAGATGAAGTCAGGCAGTAAAAGTAAAAGACTTGACAGAACACATTGGGAATGCGTATGTTTGGTGGTGTGCTGTGTTTTCACTGCTGGCACAAAACACAAAAGAAAGACACACTATTCCCATTTGTCTGTCTTTCTATCTCC